GATGAATTTATATCATCTATAATCTCTTTCACTCTCCAATCCCTGGCAATCTAGCTTCTTCCATAAATTTTCATTGACAACGTTTTGGAGAAAGTCATAATTAACCTTCAAATTCAGAAACCTTTGTCCAGTGTTAACCTTCCTCAGCCTCTCTAAGGCATTTGGCACTACTAACCAAACTTCTACTTACTATACTCGTCCTGCCTGGGCTTCAGAGAAACTAGACGTCCTTCCACTTTCTCTTACCTGCTATTATTTCCTAGCCTCCTTTAGCAGCTCTTCTTCAATGGCCCATACTTAAACATTGGAATCCCTAGAGATATCCTTCCCTCTTTCTTGCTCCATACACCCACCTTGTGTAATAGGAACCACTCTGTGCTTTCAATGACAGTCTCTAGGCTAATCTCAAAGGTGTGCCACCAATGAAGGATGTTCCTTGAAATTCAGGCCCATAGAGCCGACTCTCACACACGCATGTTAACCCAAAGTGTCAGAAATTGACTTTTAGTCTGTCCTCCTTTCGCTTGATGCTAAAGTCACCCATGGCCAAAATTTGGCAAGTCATTCTAAATTCCCTTCTTCTTCCACATCCTTCACATCCAGTCAGTATCCACATCTTGCAGGGTTCCTGTTGGCTCACATTCTAAACTTCTTTCCATTCTCAACTGGGCCTTGGCTCTAGCCCAGGACCATTTTAAGAACTACATGTAAAACACGTTTTATAACAGCAGTAATCCATGTGCATTGTATGACCACCCATAAGCCCAGGGTTTTGGCATGTATCCTTCTCAGAGTACTTGTGTGATCTATGAAGAAACAGAGGATGAAGGTGAAGAGTCCATGGATTTAAAGTCATTTATGATTTGGTTTCAAATTCTAGCTGTACCACTTCCTATCTAGATAACCTTAGTATTAAAATCACAGTTGTTATTACCCCCTAAAATTATAGCACTATACCATTCACTGATTTGTAACTTCTTTTTTCCCATAGTAACATATTACGAATCTCTTCAATGTGAAGATACGCATCTGTACGTTTTCATGGTATTTCGCTGTATAGATATGCCATAACATATTTAACTAGCCACCTCTATTCTTTTCAATTATCTCTAATTTTGGTCAATGTAAGAAAATGGCAATGAACGTAACTCTAAATATTTGCATGCTTATGCTATTATTCTCTTTGGAGGAACTTCTGAGTCCAGTGAAGTGCATGGTTTTCAGGACTTTGCCACATGCCACTGTTCTCTGGAAGGATTCTACCAACTTACATACTCCCATCAAGAAGGACATTACCTACCATCTCCTACCTACCTACCCTCCAGTCTTACACTCCCTAAATCTTTCCCTCACCTTTCAGCAATTCCGCCATGCACAGAATAGAAACTCTGCACGCACGCGCACACTCGCTCTCCTCTCTCTCTCTCCCTCTCTCTCTCTCTCTCTCTCTCTGCCTACTCCTGCTTCCCCTCTGCTCCTGTCTCTCTATGCAACTGAGTGGCCAGTTAGTATGACCTGATTTTCTCTCCAAACATTTCAGATATCCCCACTTAAATGTCTAATACACATCACACTCAACAGGTCCTAAATTGAAATGATGACATTGAAAGCAATACCATCCTTCCAATTTCTCAGGCCAAAAACCAGAGTCATTTTTGACCTTGTTTGTTCTCCTACATTATTTCCATCAGGAAATCTCAATGGCTCTAATTTCAAAAAAAAAAAAAAAAAATCTAGAATCAAACCATTTCTCCACTTTCCAGTGTGAATAGCATGGTCTGAACCACCATAATCTCTTACCTGGATTACAAGAATCCACCAAATGATCTCCCTATTTCCCTTTGCTCCCTTACGTCTATTCTCAACACAACAGCCTAAAGGATCATTTTAAAACAAAGCATAGATTTTCAAGTCTTTGCTTCAAACCCCCATTTCACTCAGAGTAAATCCAAATTTCTAATGATGGTCTGACTACAAGGCCCTATGCGATCTTGTCCCATTGCCCCTCTGACCTCATTTCATATTATCGTTCCCTCTGTTCGCTTCACTTCAGCTACATTCAAATCTTAAGGTAAGTTCCTGTCTTAAGGCTTTTGCGGACGACTCTTTCTGCCTGGAATGAGTTTCCTAAGATATACACGCAGCTCAAATCCTTGCCCTTCTTCATGCCTTTGCTTAAATGAATAAATATCCAGACTATCTCAACTTAATAGTGCAAGGGGATCTCCTTCCCAATTCCCTTTTGTCTGCCGTATTAATTTTGGGGGATAAACCACATACTCACAAATTATATGATTTACTTCCTCGATTTACTTTTATTTATAGAATTTAATCTCTAGAAGATCTGCAGTGATCTGTATGTTTTGTCCAATAATTTAAATTTCAAGTGTCCAACAGTAGGCACGCAGTAAATATATATCAAGTAACTGTTTAACAAATGAAAAAAACACCCCCAGGCAAATTCATGCCCTATAGTTTCATACTGCATATTTAAATGATTTGGAGGCAGGTCAAGAAAGTACAGCAACTAGACAGAATGAAGGTGGGGGTGTGGCTTATAGCAAAGCAGAAGGTCCGTGTTCTATCCAAAGGAAACAGCTGCTACTCAAATCCAATCGATTGCTACCCTGCTGGAAAGCAGGCCCCTTACTACCAGAAGATGAGGGATGCCCCGACACCCATTTGTCATTAAGATGATGGTTCAAACTTTCACATTAAATCTCTTAGTTTTAGAATTCTGGCAGTTGTCAGTTGGAAGCAACATACAAAAAACTCTTATTACACAGTGACTAACCACATATCCACAGTATTTGATCTTAGCTTGCACTTTTACTTGTTCTGGAATTGTTTTCTGTGTATATTTACTCTCCCTAATAAAACGACATAAATTTTATTTAAATTTTAGATATTGATTAGAATTTTTTTTTTTTTTTTTTTTTTTTGAGATGAAGTCTCACTCTGTCACCCAAACTGGAGGACAGTGGCACAATCTCAGCTCACTGCAACCTCTGCCTTCCCAATTCAAGCAATTCTCCTGCCTTAGCTTCCCAAGTAGCTGGACTACAGGTGCGTACCACCATACCCAACTAATTTTTATATATTTACTAGAGACAAGGTTTCACTGTCTTGGCCAGGCTGGAGATTAGAATTTTTCTACCTAAATGACAGGCCAAATGGGCCTCCGCCATGGGCTGTGATGTCAGAAAGCTTCCACTGCAGGTTAGATGGCTCTTCTCTAGTGATAACTGAACTACACTGATTTGGTTTTCACATCTCAGCTTGACTCCCCAGGGAAGCCTCTCTAATGCTTACTTCCAGTTTTGTAGATGACGGTGTCCTGGTTAGGCTTCAATCACATACCTCCGGACTGCACACTCTCTACATCTCTTCTCCTGGCTCCTTGAGGGTGAGCACCCAAGTCCCTGACTCCCTGGGAACACCTAACATAAAGTGGAGGACTAGCAGCAAGGTGGCAGTAGCATTTTGTTATATCAGGAACTGAATTTCACATAAGAAAAAGAAAACAAAACTCAAAGACACGAAGTTACAGCTAATACGTGATGAAACTTGTGTTTAAATCCCAAAATGACATTGAGTCTTTAAATAGTACAGAAATCATTCTCAGACCAGATCATGTCTAACTCTGCCACAGTGCAAACTAAGGAAGTGCATGGTTTTCTTTACGTAAATGACAAAATTGCTGAACTAGTCTATCTCCAAAAAGTAAACATTTCATTTTTTTCTAAATATTTATTATTAATAAGGTACACCACAAATATTTCCTTAAGTAGATCCTAAGCCTCAGAGTATCACGACTAAATGCTCTATGAAAAGACAAGGCTATAAAGTTACTTAAGTTAATATAAATGAGAAGGGCTGCAAAACAGATTTTATTCACATATTTACAATGGCCTTAGAGGTAACGGAACATTCTAAAGTTAACCGAAAATGATAACCTAAATGCCTTTTAAAAGCCTTTAGGATAATATCAAGGCTTTTCTCCAAAAAATAAGCATTATTTACAATTTCTTTTTATGTTTTTAAAAACATTTAAAACTTGATTTAAAATTTTTTACAATGCCAAGAAGGTGTTTTTTTTTTTTTAAGAGTGAGAGCTATAAGTAAATGCAAAAGAAAAACTTTGTTTTTATGGTTACTGGATTCATAAGCAGGCCAAAACCAAAAATTCAAAGGCTGATAGCTGCATTTTCACATTATTCCACAAGATGTCAGCATGTAACTGGACAACTTCAATAGTGGTTGTAGTAGGGAGGAGGTGGGTTCACTCAAACAGAACAATAGAAACCCTTTTATTTCATGATCTTACACTACAGCTTTGGTAACTCACTTCATAAATGTATACATAGCCATGTATATTTTATTATTGTAAACCCAGTTCTTAATATATTCTTACAGTAGTTTGTAAATACAGATATTTAGGTATTTCTTTTTTGAAACGCCTTAATTTTTTCCTTTCCAATTTAGCTCTCAAAATTCTTCTGATCAAATTAAGAACCTTCAAATACTTATTAAAGCCCAGGAATAATCCTCAGCACAATACAAACATTAACCTATTTGTCTATTTGGATTATTTTTCCCCATTGTACAGATTTTAAAAATTAGAATAAAGGTCAATGGTTCACATGGGATTATTTACTCACTATAGATTATATATTCAGTAGGCGACTAGAGTCACTGCAGGAGAGGGAGAGGTGTGTGTGTGTGTGTGTGTGTGTGTGTGTGTGCAGTCTTGTCTTGATATCTTCCTTTGTTTCCCACTAACAACTCACATGCTGAGTCACCAACACCTGACCAATTGTCAATACTGATCATTAGCAGCAGTAGTAGGAACATACTGTTACTAATGTCTTTCACTTACAAGTAGCACCACAGCCTAGTAAATGGTAGAAAGTCATACTATGAAAACATTAAATAAAAAACGTTGGTATTAAAATAATGCTTAAAATCTGAATAAATACATATCTCCCCTGTTGTCTTACATCATTTGCACTCTTATCTTGCTTTTCATATTTTTCTCGGTCATAAGCCATTTTCTTCAGCAATTTCTTCATGGCTCTTTTATCCTTTTTGTGATTTCCCGAGTTTTGCTCCCTCACTTGGTTTACAATAAACTTGGGAATCTATAGAGAGAAGGAATTAAGCTTAGAGAGGGAAAAGAAACAGCACCATTTTAAACGACAGAAAAAAAAAAAACTGTATTTCTTAAATTTCAAAAGGAGTCAAGAGTTTTTTTTGATAAGACTGCCATTTTACATGCACTCTTCATTAAATCTATGAAAAGAAAATGCTTCATATTATTCACTTACCAGGTGTACAGAGCATCCACGTGGTGCAATTTACCACCCACTGTGGAAGGTTCTAAAAGAGGCTTTGTGAAGTTCAAGGACGTAGTGGCCGTCTTCCATGCCAGACTGGAGACCCCCTGAGGTGATGAGCAATAGAAGCCACCACCTCCTCGGGTCTTTCCTTTTGCAGCCTCCCACCTACAGTCCTGCTAGCTAACCCAAAGTCCCCTCCTAATAACCAGCTAGCTGCTGCTGTCATGAGAGAAAGAACTACTCCCCAAGAAACAAGAGCCGATAGGTAGCTAGCAAAAATCCAGGACAAATTTATCCTAAGAAATCACATTAGCAAACACAAAATATTTTCAAGTATCGAAATGTAACCATGAAATAATGTGAGCATTTCAAACATTGATATTTAATAAATGGACATTAAATTTTTATTTAAAAAAATCTGAAATACCAGTTGTCTTTTTATAAAAATAAAGCAATATACAAATAAAGACTTCAGGATCTAAATATCATTACTCTGTCTTTTAAAAAAATTAATGTTCGGAGATTCCTCAAACAAGAGATTGAAATATTCAGTATCATAATTTTGCTTGGAATTCCTTTAGGTCATTTTTTCTAAATGCTTATAAGATGCCTTTCTGAAAAATTATAAATTTCTCTGGAAAATGAGCACCTAATCAATGAAGCCTCTCATCCACTACCATGCTCTGATAAGCTGTCAAAACAAGCTCAAAATAAGTGTGAAACAGAGGGAACCATTTTTAAAGATGTTCTCAGCAATAAGCACGTACCCCTTTAAATAAAGGGTCTATGAAAAGTAACTGAAATATCTGAAACCAAGATGGCATGGGCTTTTGAAAATACAACAGGCCAAAGCTGGGTGCAGTGACTCATGCCTGTAATCCCAGCACCTTGGGAGGCTGAGGCGGGTTGATCACCTGAGGTCGGGAGTTCAAGATCAGCCTGACCAACACTGTGAAACCCCATCTCTACTTAAAAAGAAAGAAAGAAAGAAAACCACAAAAATTAGCCAGGTATAGTGGCAGGCACCTGTAATCCCAGCTACTCAAGAGGCTGAGGCAGGAGAATAGTTTGAACCTGGGAGGCAGAGGCTACAGTGAGCCGAAATCATGCCATTGCACTCTAGCCTGGGAGACAGAGTAAGACTCTGTCTCCAAAAACAAAACAAAACAAAACAAAAAAGAAACAAAAAACAACCACAGGTCTAAACCCTGAGACATGGGAAAACAGGCAGAAATAAAAGTACTTCTTACAAGGTACATTTTGACATAATTTAAAAATAGAAATTCTCAGGGCCCTCCTCACCTATAGGAATAAATTGTCTTTACTATTTTCTGCACTCACAAATTTTAAATGTAATTTAATAAAGCTAATAACCAAAATGCAATGTGTTTTTTAAACCACTAAGAACGAAGTATATAATATATACGTACCGTCCACAGAAGTTTTTGATAACTAATCAGTAAGTGCATGGTATGTGCTGTCCCAGCTGCCATTGCAAACTCTCGCTGTTCACTGGACTTCAACCCCAATGCATGACACATAAAGAGATTCGGGGCCATGACCATTGCTACATTCATGACCGTCATTTTATTTTTTTCTTTATTATCTATTACTCTTTGGAGAAATTCAAGAAGGGCCTGAAACAGAAATAACTCTTTGAGATTTGTGTCACATATGAAGATAAAAGATGAAAGCACTGTGGCATATAAAATTTGTATCTCATTAAAGAAACACGTCGTGTAGAAGTACAGTTCAGCTAATCACATCCAACAGGCCCTGTTACCAAAGCTTCTCCAGTTGGCTGATGCTCCCTGAGATGGAAGTTTGCTTCTACGGAGGACCATGACACTGGCGAATGAAGCAGAGATGGCACATAGCTGAACGAGGGAGCGGGGAGAGGAGTGGGGAAGCGTCAGACCTCTGGCCTATGGGAGCCATGAAGAGCTGAAAAGTTAAAACATCATACAAACTACACTTTCCTATGTTGAGATTTTTAAAAATTCCCTCATTCCACTTCAGTTTCATTTGCTTTAAGGCAATTAATATCTGGCTGATGTGGAACCTACAAAGAAGGAGCCAGGCACTGGGCATGGTGGTGCACACCTGCAGCCCCAGATCCCTAGGATGCTGAAGTGGGAGGATCATCCAAGCCTAGGAGTCTGAGTCCAGCCTAGGCAACAGAGAGAAACCCAGAGAAAGAAAAGAAAAGAGAGAAAGAAAGGGAAAGAAAAAAAAAAGAGAGAGAGAAAGAGAGGGGCAGGGCAGGGCAGAACAGAACAATGCGGGGAGAAATGAGGAGAGACCAAAGACAATCTTCTTTTTTTTTTTTTGAGACTGGGTCTCACTCTGTTGCCTAGGCCAGCATGCAGTGGTAGATCGTAGCTCACTACAGCCTCAAACTCCTGGGCTCAAGCGATCCTCCTGCCTCAGCCTCCAGAGCAGCTGGGACTACAGGTGCACGCCACCACACCTGGCTAACTTCTTTGATTTTTTAATAGAGACAAAGTCTTGCTATGTTGCCCAGGCTGGTCTTGAACTCTTGAGTTCAAGAAATACTTCCACCTCATCCTCCCAAAGTGCTAGGATTACAGGCGTAAGCCACTACACCCAGCTAAGAATTTTTTAAAAATGAATGAAAAGGAACTTTACATCAGGACAGGTTAAGTTATGCTCAGCTTGATGCCACGTATGTCCACCCCTATTGCAGACACTCATTGTCCTCTGAACCTATCTTCCCTAAAAGCCAAAGGGAGCTGAGGTCACCCTACTCTAACAGGGCTTACGGCTTCAGATTTTTCTCTTGCCTTCTTAATTTGTTCTAGAACAACAGCAAGCATAACTGCACAGTTATTCAAAGTTCTCTATGAATGAGGCAGTTTATGAAGCACATTATAGAGATTGCTTAATCCTAACTTGGAGACGGACACTGTGATTACCCCATTTTACAGATGAGAAAACAATGTTTGGAGAATGTAACCTCCTGGTGGTCATACAGCTAGCAGATCATTGAGAAAGAATTTAATTACAGGGCTATCTGGTTTTTGTTTCTAAATTCTTAACTACTTACTGAAAGACCCATTTTTTCATAGTTAGCCTAAAATCCCCACCCTAAAAAGGCCAAATACGCTATATTAAAATGGAAAAAGAAAAAAAGGTATCTATCTTTCAAAGAATTTGAGGAAAAGAAATTCCTCTAAGTGCTAACAGGTTGCTCTTGAATCAAGTTTAGCTGCTACAGACCTTGAAAATTTGAAACAAATTAAGGACAGAGCTTTAATATCTAACAATGAGATTTATGTATCTAATTTCTAGTACAGTGCTCAGGAAGTTAAATTGTAATCCAAGCATAAAGTTATATAAAACAACATGTTCTCAAATGAGGACAAAAAGATTAATTGGTGAATTTTTGAAAAAATATTTAATTTTGTTCCACAGAGACCAGAATAATTGTTCAGGGGCCAGTATATCTCCTTCTTTATGAGCATAAATTACAAAGATTAGGCAATAAACCATTTTAATTGTGGTGTGCATAGGCAATAACGTTATTCAAAATATTACTATCAGAATACTAGAGAATAAGAGAGAGAGAGTTAACATAAAATTAACGAGATGCTAGCCTAGCACTTGCTGAAGGAACTGCACTATCTTCTGTCTGAACCTTAAGAATTTCCCCTTTTTATATATATTTTTATTTCAATAGTTTTGGGGACACAGGTGTTTTTGGTGACATGGGGAAGTTCTTTTGTGGTAATTTCTAAGATTTTGGTGCACTTGTCACCTGAGGAGTGTACAATGTACTCAATATGCAGTCTTTTCTCTCTCACCCTTCGCCTACCCTTCCCCTCAGGTCCCAAAGTCCAGTGTATCATTCTCATGCCTTTGTATCCTCACAGCTCAGCTCCTACTTACAAGTGAGAACCTGCAATATTTGGTTTCCCGTTCCTGCATTACTTCACTTAGAATGATGGCTTTTGATTCCATCCAAGTTGTTGCAAAGGCCATTATTTCATTCTATTTTAAGGCTGAGTAGTATTACATGGTGTGTGTGTGTGTGTGTGTGTGTGTGTGTGTGTGTGTGTGTGTATCATGTTTTCTTTATACACTCATTGACAACTTAATGCTGTTTCAAAAAGTATTTAACACCGGCCTGGTGCTATCAATGTATCACTGGACTCACTCTCTGAAAACCCAGGTTTGATCTTAGAATAAATCTTTCTATACCTCTGCTCTTTAAAGTTTTCTTATTTGTAAAATGGGAATACTTATGTCTCAGCCTGAAAGGCAAGACAATGTATATAATGAGCTTCTTAAAACTATAAAAAAGATAAATGTCCATAATCATATTAACATGGACCCCCTCTTGCTATCTGAAAATTAGTCTTCACTATCCCTCCAAGTCAAAGGTAGGTGTGATCATTGGTGCAAATGCACTATAATTCAAAGTAAAAAAAAATAAAATAAAATAAAAAATAAAAAAACCTGTGGTTAAACAACTTGCCCAAATACACACGTCGCTTTACCATCATGTCAAGACGAGGTATTGACCATGGTGCCTCTTAATCTTAGACTTGCTGGAGCAGTATTCCACACAAGTCATGCACATGATTCTGTCCTTCAAATGACAATTAAAGGCATGTTGCTAGCACTGGACAAGTTGGAGAATTTTGCGTTAGGATTCCCAAAATTATATTGCAGTGGAGTTTCCCTTCCCTTTTACAGAACTGAATTTATGGCTCATTCTTTGCACATATGGCATTCTTGCTCCAATGTTCTATTATTGAAGTTCTAGTTTGAAACCTTCAGCAGAGCAGGCTAATTAAGTCACTAACGCTTAAATAAACATGTCAAATTACTTGTTTGCATCTCCAGTTTTTCACTAAAAAAAAGTACTTCCAACCCACTTAATTATAAAATTATGTTTCCAATAGCCTCAAACACAAAAAGTTAGAACTAGCCTATAATTTTAAAAATATTTTTTAGCAATTTTTAAAAGAGCATGCCTGGGACTTTGAGGGCAAAGTCCAAAGAAGAGTTCTAGATTAGCCACACCCAAAGCAGCCATATTGAATTGAGAGCTTCCTCCCACAACTACTTGAACTCATTTGAACGTAGGGATACCTTAAGTAAATCGTATGTTTTCCAATACCCATTGCACACTGGTCACTGATAGGGCTGTCACCCAGAGATGGGGCAAGAAAAAGTCAAAGAGTAAGAAAAAGATGTTCCTCCCTATTTCTGAGTAGTTCAAGCCCTGTGTCAGGAGCATTGCTGGCAAGCAGAGGACATGTTGGATCATCAGCCCCACTTCGTCCTGAGCCCTATGTCCCCGTCTCAGCCACATCTCCACACACTTACACAGCGCCCCAGGCACATATTGTCCGAATGTAAGCCTTTCTGAGTTGACCTCTGTCTCAAAAGCAAATTGAAACAAAACCTAATGCTGCCTCCTGGGTTATTCATTTGAAAGGAAAGGCTTTTTTTCTGACTTAGGAAAGGGAATAACCCTTTGGAAGTTCTCCTGTAGCGGATGTAGCATTTTACCTCCAGTAATCCCCCTAAGCTGCTTCATCAAGAACAGCTGAGTATTAACATTCATTCCATGGGCATTAAAGAACTATCACTCATGCAGTTACAATTCAAGGAGTTGTAATGAATTACAGGGAAAGAATTCCAAGGTGTACCTACTAGTGAATTTGTTTTCTTAACTTGTAAGTTCTTGTCGTGAGATTTTATTTTAAAACCAGAAAAATGAATTACTACTATATGGTTATTAAATACAACTCAAAACATGCAAAAAATAAAAATAAGGAGAAAAAAAACTGAAAAGCAACCACGTTTCTTCCACTAACCAACGACCACCCTCAATTGTCTGATTTGGAAGAAGAAATACTTGAAGGCAAGGGCAAAACTTTAGATAATACTTTTACTAAGTTTATTTTTTTTTCCTTTTTCTTCTATAAGAGTTTATAATTAAACCTTTTACAACTACTCTATAAACTTCTGCTGTTAAGGAAAACAAATCAGTATGGAATAATCCCCTGATTATAAAAGCTTCTAACAACACTTATAATAGATGGTATTAAATCATATAAACATTAGACCAAATCACTTCAAAATGATAATATAAAACAGAAACTCAGGATAACCCTTAGAGAAATAAATAGAATTTGTTTGAGTTGGTCTATCTTTTGGCTAACAAATGTATCAAATCACCATTATGACTTATTCCAAAATCCACCATTTTGAACTACAAACTGTAAGATCTTTAGGTAGTAGTGGGTTATATCTGATGCGGATTAACATTTTTGTTTTAAACATTTATATTTTACCCTACTACTACATGCTTATTAAATACAACTCAAAACATGCAAAAAATAAAATAAGAAGGAAAAAACTAAAAAGAACCCATGTTTCCATTAACCAACAAACCTCAATCATCTGGTTTGGAAAAAAAAATTATAGTGAAAAATTTTTTTTAAAAAAAGCTTAATAACATTAGTAACAAAACAACCTCATATATAAAGAATTAAAGACTTTTACCCTCTGTCCTTAAAAGTGGGCTTTTTCTTTATAGACTTTTATGAACATATCCAAGATATACATCATACTGTTTTGCCACAATTAATGAAAAATTACTGTGCTTAGTTCTAAGGGATATTTAAAGTAAATTAATGGAGCTGACCTTCAGCGTGTCCCTGTTTGCATCAGGTAGGAGGATGACAAGAAGGTTCAAGGCCTGTAGTTGCTGATTCTTGGTTGGAAGATCTGCAGACAGATTAAATAAATCTGAACTCTTTTCTTTACTGAACATTTTCCTTTACTTTCTTTTTTCACTTTTGAAGAAAAAAGTTATTTGGCATAAACATCACTGTAAAATGTAAGACACAACGACTGAGCAGCAAGCCTTGTTGAGAGTGTGTTTGTGGGAGATCAGCAGAAGCAGCTGCTGTTAGGAGCTTCCTCTCTCTCAGAATGCTCACTTCCAACTGTGATCATATGACGCTGCGGCCTTATGTTTGCAGACACACAACAGTGCTTTGGAAATAATTTTAACTTCTGCAGTGATAATTATTCCCCAATGAAAAGACATACAGGATTGGACCTTCCATGATATGGTATCAGGGTGCATCTGTAACAGTGAAGTTTGTTTCTTTTAATGGCGAGTGAACAAATGCACGCTAAGAGTCCCTTAATTCCAACAGGACTATGTAAAATAGGGCCTGGAACACAATAGGTGCTTATACATGCCTGTGGAATAAATTAGAAAACCAAGCAGCAATTAAACAGTCTAAGAGGTGATTATCATTGATGCTATAATTTTCAGCAGCCCTTACCCCATTTAAGTAATACTCATGGATAGTTAGAATCATTCCAGCATTTCTTTTTCAGCAATAAATTTGGTCCTTTAATCCATATCCAAGAAATGTATGCAACATAGCACAATTTAAACATTAAGAAGTATTTCCAACAGAAGGTGATTTATTCTGTTTAAAGAAGAAATATGTAAGAAAAAATACTTAAAACAGAAGATGATTTCAGTTCCATCTCTCCTAGAAATTCTGAAGAAATGTCATGATACAAGATGACTCATGAAACCATCTCAATATTGTATGCTTTAAGAATAGCCTGGCACAGTTCTGGTTGAAAGTGTAGCTCACCATAATTTTTTTTTTTTTTTTAGTCTGAGTCTCACTCTGTCTCCCAGGCTAGGAGTGCGGTGGTGCGATCTGAGCCCACTGCAACCTCCACCTCCGGGGTTCAAGCAATTCTCTGCGTCAGCCTCCCTGGTAGTGGGAATCACAGGTGCACACCACTACGCCTGGCTAATTTTTGTATTTTCAGTAGAGATGGGGTTTCACCATGTTGGCCAAGCTGGTCTCAAACGTCTGACCTCAAGTGATTCACCCACCTCAGCCTCCCAAAGTTCTAGGAGCTCACCATAATTATTAATAGTGCCCCTCTTTCACTCTTATAAGCGTCCCCGTTTAAAAGATAAAGATATGGTTACTTGAATGCAGTGATGGCATTTTTACTTGTTTCGTGGCCTCTAAGCGTAAAATCGATAATTAGGCCAGTAGCTAAACCTTATCAGATCTAGGCTCACTGGAAAAAAAAATCGAGAGCTAGTAGAGAGACATTAATGTGTAGCTTGCTCGAGACGACAAGTGACAGTAAGTACATAAGAAGCAGCTTGTGACTTTCCACCAATGAGGCAGCAAAATGCTTTGCTCCACGTTTCTGCATGACAACCTCAGAATTTAATTTTTCAAGAAATGCTCACAGACCCTACCACTTCTCCTTGTGCTTTTATGATAACTGTTAATCCACAGTTTCCCTAGTAAGGGTTGCTTTTAACACTTGGCAAGAAAACTGTATCAGAGATCTTATGTGACTCATTCTATTATAAGAGAAACGTGAAGTTTCCAGGTTTTAACACTGAAATATATTGTACTGCTTAAATGTCATGCAATTAATCTGTACCCAGAGAGAACATTCTGTTATCTGTTTATTCAGAAATGCATAAGAGAAAATGAAAACAATGCATGGCATCTGAGCACCCACTGACATCCGTGAGTCAATGTGTCCACCCAAATATGTCTGGTTACATTCTCTGTGATGCCAAATGTCATTAAAACAATGAACATAGATGGCACCAGCAGAAGGACTGCTTCAAAGAGGGATAGCACTTACTCTGGACAGCCTGAAAGGCTTTGAGATATTGCACACTGAGCAATGGCTGGGGCAACTCCCGAATGAAGAGCTTCAGCAGGCTGGCGGCATCATGCTGTTTGACACTGTCCCAATTAAAAGTCCCTTCATAAAACTTTGCTTCTAGTTCTTGGCAAAGATTCTGATAGGCACAGAGAAAAAAGAAGAAGAAAAAGAAGAAGAGGAAGAAGAAGCTATAAGTGCATTTTTTTCTTGCTGAGAATGTGATACATTTTCTACTTTCAAGAGATTCTACTCTTTAGACAAATCAAACTAGCGAAAGTCAATACTTCTTTTACTCAGAAAAATTACTACTCTCTTCTAATCCAAATGTACTTTACCAATAAAAAACTGTACCTTAGGCCAAAAAACAGTTTATACTTTTTAACTGTGAAGGCCAAAAAAACCCCCAAATTTATCGTTTTTCCTGGACATTCCACAAACTACAAGTAATAAAGTTTTAATTAAGAGATTGGTGAAAATAATCATTCCGTTTGGGGGCTTCACCCACATATTATAAATCTTCATTCAATCAAGAAAAAAATACTAAAAAAGAAGTCTATGTTATAAATTATTTAGAAGTATATTACGTAACAAAATACATAATCAATCTCTGGACCTAAAACTGAAGGCTACCTCTGATTAGTCACCTCTGGGAAATGGAAAACTCAATTCTACAGCAAACGAGGCATGAAAATACATCAATATACCTGTCTTTAACGCACAGCCATCCTGCTACCAGCTGCGGAAAACAGTCTGAATCCATACAGAATGAGAAATACCTGGTTCACTTACTCAGCACTCTACGAAGTTTGTCAGGTAAATTATCACTAATAAATTCATCGAGTTTTGTAATTGCTATTTTCTGTATGCTTCTTTACTACAACCCACATAAATCTGATCATGTTAGAAACCATCCCAACTTTCTGCCGCTTTCTTCTATTACATGAAACCATTATCCCAAAGCATGTTCTTTGTTTTCTTGTAAGGCAAATTCCATGTTCTCTTCCTAACACAAGGACCACCCTCTACTCCCGGTTATTTTTGTAATTGATGAAATATGTGAAGGGGAGTGGGCAAAGACAGGGAAAGAAACAGGGAGAAGGAAGATTAAAAAAAGAGGGAGGGAGGAAAAGATGGAAAAAGGGAATGAGAGGGAGGGAAGGGAGAGGAGGGGGACAGGAGGGAAAGAATGAGAGAGTAAAGGTCAGCAGAGGAAGAGCCAGAAGAGAGAGGTGGAAAGAACAGAGGAAGAGGGAGGGAGAATAGTACAGGGAGATTTGGTGGGGCTAGGAAGAAAAGAGACAACCAAAATTTTTGCATATTATCCTTTAAATTATTTATAATGGACCAGCTGCTGCATAATTTGGCATATGACAACAGGCTGGGTTGAAGAGTTGAGCCAGCTGAATCCACTTAATTGGTCTTCTTAGAAATTACACTTAGTTAAACTTGTCCTTCTGCCAGCCTTCTCCTTGCAAAGTAAAATCTGCATTATATTCGCTAGTCTGTACCAAAGTCGACGTATTTTTGCCTCCTGTGAGTTGGCCATCACAGTCTGCTAGTGAGGACCCGAGTGCTTTGAATGGTGAATTGGGAAGGACTATCTTGCCAATATGGGTAATATGAGTTTATGTTACCTGTTTCCGAGGAATTATATCTACGTTAGAGAACGGACTTAACAGAACTCGTCTCAGAATCACACAATGTCCATGACTGACAAGTGGTGAACATGCCGTAGGTGTTAGTAAATGAAGTGGGATGATGACAAGTTATCAAACTTACACACACCACCACAGTTTCAGGATCCGCTAAGTACCAGACACCAAACCCAGGGGACACAAGAGGAAAATTATGATCAGGATGTATCAGGCTACTCGAATCCTATTAAAACGAGATCACTGTGTAGTAAGAGCCAAGGAGGCTGAAACTGGTGTCCTAAATCGAGGCAACTTATCAAAATAAGCAGGTGATGCAAACGGTAGGATGTATAAAGAGTAATTCCAATCCTGGCAACACCACAGCCCATTAGTCACAGGCCAGGACAGTGTGCACTCCCCAAGAAACACTTGGTCTGATCCAGCTCTAAAGAGTTCATAAAGAATGGGCTTATGAAAATGAAGAGAGATTATCTCTCTTCTCCCCTATTTTCACTTAGATTTTCAAATTCAGGAAGACAATGTGTTGGATGCGGGCAGTGGTTACTTGTGCTATCTCAGTGCAGAGCCAAAGTTAAATTTGGGAGATAGGGTAAAAGTGATAGTTAATGACTGCTTTCCAGATACAGCTACAATTCCAAGTATGAGTCTCCTTTACATTTCAAATCCTCCTGAGCAGATATGTACTATGCATCCCCTGTGGGTTAATTCCATCTTTATCACGCATTCATTGGAAACTTTGTCCCCCAGAGCCAAAAATGAGGCACAAAGATGACAGCAGTATACATGGTACCCTGGGATAGTAGAAAGGAAATGCCATCCAGGGAAGGAGAAGGGAGGGCTCAAATGAGGAAGTCTGGAAATTATTCTTCCAGCCAGACTCAGGATACCCTGGATGCAGTAAGACAGGCAACTGTGTGAATCAGGAAGGTAGATGAGAGTGTCTCATCTGGCTGGCTCATTAAGACTAATTATGCATAGGATGTCAAGGCCCCCCATCTGCTGAAGTCTATGACACTGGTCTTTTTTATTTTTTTTCTTTTTAAGAAACAGGGTCTTACTGCTCTGTCATCCAGGCTGGAGTGCAGTGGGGCAAGGACGGCTCACTGCCACATGGAACTCCTGGGTTCAGGCAATCCTTCCTGCTCAGCTTCCAGAGTAGCTAGGACTCCAGGTGTGTGCCACAATGTCTGGCTAATTTTTTAAAAATAATTTTTTGTAGAGACACAGTCTCACTTTGTTCCCCAGGCTGGTCTTGGATTCCTGACCTCAACCAATCATCCCACCTTGGCCTCCTGAAATGCTGGGATTACAGGCATGAGCCACCACGCCTGGCCCTGACTTTTGTAAACTCAATGGCTACTACTCATCCTGACTAAATCTATCACAACTACCCCCACCCTATTAATATTTTAGCTCATCATATTCTCTTGTCATAGCATTATGATAGGTCATATGGCGATTTTGAAAAAAACGAAACTTAGCAAAAACCAGAAGGGACTGTAGAAACACTAAACAGAATGGTAAAAGGTTTTACCGTTTTATCTACTTTGCTAAAAATGGAAAAAAGGAGTTGAGAGGACATGTTAGCTTTGCAGAAGTATAAATAAACAATAAAATGTTTACAATAGTAGAATGCAGAGATTACCTTGATTCTAGTGGCAGCTCCAGGGATTCGTAAGAGGCCTTCAGTTTCCAAACCTCCCTCTTCAATTCGAGAAATCAGCTGTGTATAAACAAGAGAAACATTCTGATTCTGCTTATTTGTAACAGGTACAATTCCAAATTTAACATATGTTTCACATATAAATCAAACTGATTACAATGACACGTAAACTGAATGTTATGAGGTTTTGAATGCTATTGTACTACCACCATCTTTCAAAACAATTAAGTCCAGAAACTTTACTTATAATTTAGAAAAAGTTGGGCCTTATTCTACTTTGTAACAAAAGTGTGTAATTTCGCACAACAGCTATGGTACTCCAAACAGAAAATACAGATGTTCATTGTTTAAAAGCAACTAAGAACATCTATTTATTTTGCTTTTCCAGAAACCTACATTCTGCAATCAAATAAATCTTATGAAATTCTAGCATTTGCATGTTTACATCTCATTTTTAGCTTGTTCCAAGAAAGAATTATTTATGACATGCAGAAAAAAAACTGTTTGCAAATATTCATTTCTAAGCCTCTGGTGTTAAACAAAGGAAAATGTCCTTGCATATGGCTCTAAGTCATACCTGATGCCCAGGGAATACACTGATCTAACTCCAGATTCCCACAAGAAAGGTTTTATTTAAAAAAGAAAAAAAGAAAAAAAAAAAACCCTTAAAAATAAGGCTAATGGAGAAAGTACAATAACCACTGGCGGCTAAGGAGAAGAAAAAAGAGTGGTCAGATTCTTGGCAAAGTGATCTTGGAGGAGGCACTGCCTGAGCAGCAGTACACAAAGGCTTTACAGAACATATTCTGCTAGTTTAAGAAAATCTGTTTTCATGTCCTCACTTTAAATATAAGGCATTTCCTAGCATCGTATAGGTTTTCCTCCATAGCTCCCACTCTCATTTCACAATTGCCTTCTCTACTTTATGAAAGACAGACCTATTCTTCACTCATCCACAATCTTACTATATTATTCTCTGTGTGCCCTAAGGTATGACATCTTCTAGGGTATCAAAAGAATATAAAAAAATGTTTTTCAGGGAAGCCTCCTTTAATGATTAAACAAGGCTCTATAAAATACCTAGAGCTTACTGTTTTTCCCTTGCACATAAAAGTGTCTGTTAGGAGCACAGCCTGGCATCATAAATGAGGTCTTTTGACCTTTGTCTTGATAGTCTGAAGTGAGATATATAGTAGTATGTGGACATTGGAAGAGATGTCAACTTTTCTTTAAAGACTTCGCCTCTTCTATTCCTGGGTTATATTGTGGCCAAAGAATGCACTGATATTGAGGAAGTTTGATAACAACTAAACATGGTAGTCTCAAAATTCTCCTGAGGATTTATTATTAGGAAAAGAGAAGTATCTTTGATCAGTCAAAGCGGTACAGGATTTTTTTAAATTCTACTGTAATATTTTCTAAAACCACATTTTTCAAGTAACACTGGATAAATACCCATAGCAAAAATTTTAGGCAAATTATTTTAGATCAGATGGGTATTACTCAGAACAAAGCACTTAAAACCAAATTTAACCAATATTCAATGTATAGCCAATTTTCATTTCATTTCATCTTATTAAAGGTTTGAAACACTTCTACGTCCTATTAACAAAAAATAAAATTGTATGCTAGCTGCTGGAGCAAGTTAGTTTTCAGCAATATATGCCTTTCACGTTCATCAAAAACACAGGAAAAAGTGATTGTGACTTCTAAATAACTGAATGAGCATCATTTCTGCATTTTAGTATTTGACTCCTTTTTGTTATTCTCTAAGGCTGAAAACCACAGCACCCAATAGAGTTACGTACATATATCTTCAGAAGGAATGCCATGTGTTTTCTTATATGTCTGACTGTGAAAATAATATTTTTAGCTACCACATTGTATTGTATTATTAAAATATAAATAATACTTTATAGCTTTCCTTTTATTATCAGGATTAAAAATAGAGATGAAAAATAACTAAATCGATACATATATTTTAATAATGCTGTTTTTACTAATTTATCTATGTTCTGTAATTTATCAATAATTTTCATCACATTTCTCAAAATATACATTACGTACTTATGTGAACTGAAAAATGAAATGAAAATACAGACTCTGACACAAAGTATGGCTGAGTTGGTCGATTCATTTGACAGTGAAAACACTAGATTTGATAATTAGGTTATAAGGCAGACTTATTTCATAAATTAAAATCAACAATATTTCTATTTCCCCCACCCTTCTGAGAATACAAGGTGTAACAATGTACCTCTGAGCAAAATAATGAAATAACAGATACAGGTTCATAGATATTAGACAAGCTTTGTTAGTGCCCTTTTTGGTTATATAAGCTCAAAAATTAAATTACAGTCCTCTAAAGACTGGTAATGAATCTTCTTGCAAATCAGTCATTTTTTAATTTTTCCATTTTACAAAATTGAGATCAGACCTCATTGTCAGCTGATAAATCAAAACTTTTTTTGTGATAGATCACCGTGATTATTTTGCTTATGATTCACAGGGAATGCAAACAGATGAGTGTTATCTACAAGCAAACTTTTTATATGCTCCTTTATTTTTTATAGAAACAAAAATCCTTTAGGGCCATTGTCCAATCCTTCAAACAGACAGCTAGTCTATAGAATGTTAAGGGACCAAAAGCAAAAAATAACCAACTAACTAACTAACTAAATAAATAAATAAATTTTCAAGAGAAAATGACAAAGGGAGATTTTTCTTAATAGACTGAATGCAATCCTCAGCATGATCACATGGCATCATTGAACCTCCATGAAAACTGAAGCTTACTGTATTTCTGTGGGATGATGGTGAATTTTCTGTGTCAATTTGTCTAGGCTATAGTGCCTATGTGTTCAGTCAAGTGCCAGTCTACATGTTGCAGTGAGATTTTTTTTTTTTTTTTTTTTTTTTTTTTGGTTGTAACAGTAGACTTTGAGTAATGACAGTTATTTAATACTCTCTATCACATGGTGGGCCTCATCCAATCAGTTGAAGGCCTAAAAGATTTGGGTTTCCCAAAGAAGCAGCAGTTCCGCTCAAGATTGCAACAAAGAAACACTGCCTAAGTTTCCAGCCTGCAAATGTTGGACTCAAGATGGTAGCATCAACTCTTGCCTGCACTTCCGGTCCGATAGCCTGATCTTCGTATTTCAGACTCGTGAGCCCCACAATTGCGTAAGCCAACTTTAAGAAATAAATTGCATCTCAATCTAAATATATCCTATTGGTTCTGTTTCTCTGCAGAACTTTGACTAATACCACAGGAAAGGCTGCTGCTGAGATCCCTGCTTTGTATAGGCTTTGGTGTATGTAAATTGCAACTCTTACTGACAGAAGAATTTGAATATGTAGCCTGTATTTGTCAGCCTCCTCTTGTTAATCACAGGTACTGCTGACAGCTCTCCATAGATACGTGGTCTGCACTGTGGTTAGCAAAGGCTAATGGGTGAGATAAACTGTGTAGAACAAAGTTTGTCGGGAGAAATAATGAGATGCGGGTTTGAATGTAGTGGTAGACATGAGCGGAAAAAGCACCAAACATTAGTAGGGAAGACAGGGAATTGACTGGTTTGGAAGAGGGGAAGAATAAGCGCCAACTACATTGAGCCTTAGTACTGGATGAATTTGCTGAGCCAATTAACTGCAAATCAATTTCTACCGTTCCACGAAATTTCAGAAACAGTGATATGCCCAGGCTGCAAAGAATCTAGTTTAGGTAGTGCAGAACTGAGTTGACCTGTCTTCCTCACTGTGCATTCCCCAGCTTTTCTCAAATGTAATCTGTGTTGCTGAACAATGATGGCTCAAAGGTTGGATGGAAATTTTTATACTGCCACAGATAATCCCCTTATGAATAATTGAGTGTTGACTACACAAGTGACTTAATAGTTTAGCAATCATTTTCTAATTCTACTTTATGGTTTCTTTGCCTACTTTGGAAATAGGCACTGGTAAATTAAATTGGACATCCTCACTGTAAATAGAAAAGCTTAGGAAATACATACAGGCATGAAATATTCATGAGGATGCAATTCCCTAGAAATTTATAAGCAGTTCCCACTCCTATGTATTATAGAATTGAAATCTCAATTATACAAAGCCAGCTAATATAAGACAGGAAAAGATGCCAGGTAATCACAGTTATAGTAATAACACAGAAAGCATCACCATGAACATAAAACTTATGAGCCCTTGAAACAAATTTGCTTTCTGAATAGAAAATCAAAGTACAAAACATGACAGTGTATCAATTGGAAAACTATGTTATAATAATATGAATACAAAAAAAAAAAAAAAAACCACTATTAGCTTAAGTATGCTCTCTCTATGCTGGCCAATCCAAGCCTACTTACTTTTTGAAAGATCAAGGGTATTCGAGTTCCTGGTACTTTCCGCTGATCTTGTTCTAACAACACTGTCAGTGGAACACAAAAAAGACCAGAATCTGCAAGAAAAAAATGAAATTTCCTCACTTTTGTCAATCTATAAAACATTAATATAAAAATGTTAAAGCATAAGATTTCTGACACTGTCAATCAGACAACTATTTATTGAGCACCTACTAAGTGAATGACAGCATCTCAACATTAGAGATATGCTGGCCAATAGTAAAATCCTGGTCCTGCCTTTTAGAGCAATGCAGCAAGGAAAGACAACTAAACAAATGATTGCAAATAATTACCAACATAATTAGAAAAGTGCAAACTGCCGCAAAGAGAGACAGAGTGCTGTGAGAACATGCAAAATATCCAAATCATTTACTCAATGTAATCAAATTAAAAATTCTTACTTAAAAGCAAATATTGGCCAGGTGCAGTAGCTTATGTCTGTAATCCCAGCACTTTGGGGAAGCCAAGGTGGGAGGATTGCTTGCACCCAGGAGTTCAAGACCAGCCTAAGCCTAGGCAACATAGTGAGACTCTATCTTTATGAAAAATCAAAAAAAAAAAAAAAAATTAGGCAGGCTCCTATAGTCTCAGCTACTTGGGAGGCTGAGACTGGAGGAGAGCTTGAACCTGGGAAGTTGAGGCTGCAGTGAACCATGAGTGCACCACTGCACTCTAGCCTCAGTGACAGACCTATCATCTTTCTTTTTTTTACATCACTAAAAAAAAGAAAATATCATTCATCTTTTACATATTAAATAGACATGGAGCATTTTACAATACAACAAAATTTACATGCTTTCTGAAAAATCAGACAAGATTATAATCTTGTTCTACAAATGTTTCTCGTTAGACAATAGATACTTGATATTCTTAAATTTAAATGTGTAGTTGTATATACTTAGAAATAGCTCCAGAAATAAATGACAGCTAATAATTTATAATTTTTCTAAATTAAAATCATATGCCTTGAGTCTGCTATGAACATGGCTTCTTCCAGAACCTCCACCCTGCCTCCATCACTGAGTGGACCGTTAGCACCAAAGTGATAACTTTTTCCTTTATGACATACATCAGCATGGAAATGAAAATCATCTGTGAACATGAAAAACGGGATTATCTTGTGGCATGAGAACAGACATTGGAGACTGTGACACTTAATGGAGATGCCATTCAAAAGAATGCCGGTAACCCAGCAAATAACTTTTTGGTTTGGGAATTCAGAATAGATGCAATCTGAAGAACGCCAAGGGTATAGGGTATTACATAAAATCAGTATCTTGGATAAGACAAACAGGTATTAAATAAAGATGGGAAGAAATTCTATTAACAGTGATAGCCTTGATATAAACAACTTAATATTTCTTTGCCAGGATACAATTCTAAAACATAGCATTAACCAAAAAAAAAAACCTCTCTGAGCCACTTTAAAAATCCTGGGCACTGACCCACAACTATGTAAATTGTATTTCTATTTTATGTTTGGAGAAGGCTTTGTGATGAGCTTCTCAGAAAGCATCTGAAGTCTTCATTATCCATAATGGGCTTATAAAAAATCAGAGCACCATTTAACTCAGAAATTCACCATCCTAAGCTTTAAGCTAAAGCACTCAAAGGAACTAGGCACAGAATGAGGTCTTCTGGGGCCCAGCATGACAGAGGGCCAGAAGGGAAGGTACACTTCAGTCCTACAGAGTAATTGACTCTAAAACCTAAATCAGGTGAATACTTGTCTTTGTGAATGTTACCATAGGAATTCAATAATCCTCATTCTTGGTTTCTCTTTAGGAGATACCTCTAAGGTTAAACAAGAGGACAAAGATTCCTAAACAGTAAAGCTTCGTCAACAGAGAGTTATGTGGATTTCATGACCAATAAATTACTGGAGAAACAAAAACTGAGGAAGTGTCTGTTTTCTATTATATTATAAAAAAGAAATTGTTTCTTTAATGGGTAAAACAAGGTACTAATTAAAAAAAAAACAAAAATCGCGGCCGGGCACGGTGGCTCAAGCCTGTAATCCCAGCACTTTGGGAGGCCGAGGCGGGTGGATCACGAGGTCGAGAGATCGAGACCATCCTGGTGAACATGGTGAAACCCCGTCTCTACTAAAAATACAAAAAATTAGCTGGGCATGGTGGCGCGTGCCTGTAATCCCAGCTACTCAGGAGGCTGAGGCAGGAGAATGACCTGAACCCAGGAGGCGGAGGTTGCGGTGAGCTGAGATCTCCCCATTGCACTCCAGCCTAGGTAACAAGAGCGAAACTCCGTCTCAAAAAAAAAAAAAAAAAAAATCATGCCACATTTCCATGACGAGTACAATCTAGTGGCATTGCTGTGCCACAATGGTGTTATTTTCTTAATAGTAGGGGAAAGACTGTCTGCAAAATAGGTAAAATTCGAATGTCCAGGAACAAAGGGGCAGACTACTAACTGGCCTATTTATTTCCTATCCAATGAATAACCAAAGTTATCATTTAGAATCAATCATCCTAAAGTCATTTTTCAAGATCTGATTCTGGAAATAAATATGTACCAAGGAGTTACCTTTTGAAATATATAGTTTTCAAAGGAGAAAGCACATGGGTTAAGAACCCTTGCTTCACAATTTCCTTCTATGAGAATTATTTGATTATGCCTTCATTTTCTATAGTCTAGGACTCAGTGTATTTCCATCAAGTTATAAAACTTTTGAAGACAACATCTTAGAATATAAACTGTAGATGTATTCAGGTGTTGGTTTATTTTGTAGGTGTTTCCTTTGCCTGCCAGAAATCCTGCTAAAAAGCCAAGTCCCTCTTGCTATTTTAGAAATAAATCCAACTGTCTGTCATTTCATGATTACCTTTTGTTTTGATTTTCACAGCTTTTTGTTGTTTCAACTCAATACCCAATACATCATAGAGGGCCGTCAGCTCAATTAGGGCTAAAGGGCAAACTTTCTTCATGTCCTGGGATGCGAGGTCACCAATCCTTGTGGTACCCGTTTTGTCTTTTGGCACTCTGAAATTCTAAAATAGATATCATTAATTAATACAGCAAAAGTTTATAGCACCTAACCCCCATTGAAATGCAAGAAGAAAAAACCAACTCTAGAAAGAAGTTATGCTCAGACTAAGTGATAAGAAAAGCCACAATAGAATTTCTCCAGTCAGAATGAAGAGTGATTCTTCATGACAATGACTCCTAAAGCTGCGGAGTGTTGAGGGTCAACATTCAAAGTCTGACAGACAATGAGACCAGACCATGTATTTGGAATGTTAATCCCAGTGGCTCAGAGGGCAAAAGAGACAGTGAGCCCAAAGGAGAAAAAGACTTGTAGTTAAGTGACCTTCAGAAACCAAGGAAGGCTAGAAGTCAAGCATAATCTATGAAGGGAAAGGGAAAGGGGAGGGGAACAGGGAAGGGGAAAGAGAGCAGGGAGGGGGGAAAGAAAGAGGAGAGGAAAAGGAAAGAGGAGGAGGTAAAGAAAGAGGGGAAAGGGGGGAAGGTGGGAAGGGAAGAAGGAGCGGGAGAAGGAGGAAGGGGAAAAAGAGGGGGAAAGGGGAGGAAGAGGGGAGGAGGAGGGGAGGGGAAGGGGGAAGGAAAAGAGGAGGGGGAAAGCGAAAGAGGAGAAGAAAGGAGATGGGGAGGAGAGGGAGGAGAAAGAAGGTGAGAGGGAAAGCGAGGGGGGAGGGGGAAGACAAAGGGAGAGGGGAAGGGGAAGAGAAAGGGGGAGGGGAAGGGGGAGGGGAAAGGAAGAGGGAGAGGGAGGAGGGGGCGGGGAGGGGAAAATGGGAAGGGAGAAGGGAAGGGGGAAAAGGGAGGGGAGGGGCAGGAGGGGGGGAGAGAGGAAGAGGAGGGGAGAAAGCAAGGGAAGAAGGGGAAGGGGGGAAGGGAAAAGGGAGGGGGAGAAGGGGAGGGGAGAAGAGGAAACCAGAGGAAGACGACATGAGGAAGCCAAGTAGGGGGAAGAGAAAGAACAGTAGCCATGAGTACATGCTTAGAATGTGCCAAGTACCCTTCCCATACACTTATGTATTTTTTAATTGTCACAAAAACCAACTAAGATTGGTCCAGAAAGTCTATAGTACATTGGGGTAAGAGCAGAGGACACAGGGAATTGAAGATCATGGACTTCAGAGCTCACCAGTCATCTAGCTACTTACTAGCTGTGTGCCCTGGGCAACTGCTTAACCTTTCTTTCTGCAAAATGGGAGAGGGTGGGGGAGGAAGGAGGAAAAGGGCAACGAAAAGGAGGAGGAGGAGGAGGACGGGCCACTGAATTCAGAGGGCTGCGGTGAGGTTCAGTGCCCAGCACTTCCCAAGGACTTTTATGTGGTTGCTACTCAGGTTGAGTATCCCTCATCCAAAATGCTTGAGACTAGAGAGCTTTGGCTTTCAGATTTTGAAATATTTTTAGATACACAATGAGACATCTTGGGGATGGGTCCCAAGTCTAAACACAAAATTTATGTATGTTTTATACACACATAGCCTGAAGGCAATTTTATAAAATATTTTAACTAATTTGCATGAAACTCAGTTTGTGTTAAGTACTTATGTGTAGGATTTTTCACTTGTGGCACCATGCCAGTGCTCAAAAGGGTTCGGATTTTGGAATATTTAGGATTTTGGATTTTTGGATTAGGAATATTCAACTTGTGTATTACTTTCACTGCTGAATAAGCTGGGACTAAGATGTTACTTCATGATCACAAGTACGTAGAGATGTGGGTTTTGCCTTTCTCAAATATCATCTTTTAATATTAAACACATTAAACATAAGAAAACAAACCACGAGATAAAAAGACAAATTTCACAAGTGTGTGCATTTAATACAAATTATAGTCCCATTGTGTTTACCCATTACTAAAACTGATCATTCTCTTACAGTTTGGGTTTACCTTTGAATTTTTCATTTAAGTCAATTGCTGATTAGCTAATTTAACTGCATCTATTTTATTCTCTTTGCTTTATTTTTTGCAAAATATCATTAACACTTCATTGTCTAAATACTAGGGCAAAAGACATGTCCTAAATCAGTAATTCTCTAAGTGTAGTCCAGGGACCACTGGGGTATCCAATACCCTTCCAAAAAGTCCAAAACTATTTTAATAATTAGTGAGACATTATTTTGCCTTTCACATTCTCATTCTCTCATGAGTATACAGTGGAGTTTTCCAGATGTAAATGAGTGCTATCGCAGCAGACTGAATGCAAACAGAAATACGAGAATCCAGCTGACTTCAGCTAAACCCAGACCTAGAGACTAGCTAAAATTAAAACCATGATACACTTAATTTTTTTTCAGAAAATATGGCTATTTTCCATTTTGAAAAAGGTATTTGTGTTAACTGTAATATTGTTATATTAAATGGATTTATAGTTTTTCAATTTCTCAATTTTGTTTTCAGATATGGTAAGTGTCCATAGGTATAAGCCACATAAACAGAAGCTTTCTGGGGCCCTTAATAATTTTTCAGAGTATAAAGGAGTTGTGAGATGAAAATGCTGCAGTCACTCTCCTAGAGCAATTCGTAAAACCTGTGACTTTTAGTAAATGAGAAGCTAATTCCCTTTAAGCAAACTCGATTCCAAGAGAGAGCCTTCAAGTTCACTGTAAGAGGAGAGGTGTCTTTCTTAAGTGTTTGTTATGTATTTTGTTTTCCTAGGAGAACCTCAAATAAACAGCAATGAACATCACTGAAGACAGAGCCTAAGGAAATTTCCAGCAGTGGGCGGGACGGCCTCAATGGGGCACTGCACAGGGTTCGAGAAAGTGTAGCCCTTACTGTTTTCATCAATTACTATGTGACCTGTGGCAAATGATGTCCCCTTCTGTGCCTTAGCCTCCTCATCTGTAAAATGAGAATAACAACTGAACCTGACCTATAAGTTGTGGTGATGATCAAATTATAAATAGCACTCAAAAGGTATTACATATTATATTTTTAATGGAGTTTTTAAAATAATAGCAACATTTCACGGTCTTTCTTTATTCCTTTTTTTTTTTTTTTTTTTTTTTTTTTTTTGAGACAGAGTTTCGCTCTTGTTACCCAGGCTGGAGTGCAATGGCGCGATCTCGGCTCACCGCAACCTCCGCCTCCTGGGTTCAGGCAATTCTCCTGCCTCAGCCTCCTGAGTAGCTGGGATTACAGGCACGCGCCACCATGCCCAGCTAATTTCTTGTATTTTTAGTAGAGACGGGGTTTCACCATGTTGACCCGGATGGTCTCGATCTCTTGACCTCGTGATCCACCCGCCTCGGCCTCCCAAAGTGCTGGGATTACAGGCTTGAGCCACCGTGCCCGGCCCGGTCTGTCTTTATTCTTATGTGTCATGGCAAGGTAAGAAAAAAATGACAATAATAATTCTCCTATCTGCAAAACAGTTCCTCATTTAATTCTGCAAAAGTCCCAGTAAGATAAGAATGACTACAGCATCTTCTAGGTGAAGAAATGGAGACTCAGTTAAGTGCCTTAAACATGGCCACAAAGCCAGTGATGTAATAGGATGCAAATTCAGTTCTCCTAATTCCTAAGTTTTGTAACCATTCTGTTCTACTCCATTTTCCCCATCCACCGGAGTAGGCAGGAGACATCTAGGTTGATAGGTGTTGATGTGGTACTGGGAGTGCCTCAAGGAGAGGAGCTACTTCCTAATCACTTCCATAACCCTGTTAGACCGTAGACCTGGCACACGATGCGTGCTTTGTCACAGTCCGCTAAATGAATAAAGACATACATCCTACAGGGAAGAGAGCACAGAATCAAACTCAGAGAGGTGAAGGGCCACTGGCTTCGTGTTCCCCTGATTTTCTGTGATTTGTACTGAGTTTTCCTTTTAACAATCACGCAAAACTCGTCACGTTTTTCCCCTGCTCGGCCCTACATTTCTGCTAATTGTTTCGTTTTCTGAATGTTGAATCAACCATATTTACCTTTTTTTAAAAAGAAAAATGTCCTAAATGTTTACATTAAAATCAGTTGCTTTGGGTCTAATAAGCCAGACACATGTAATACAGTCATTCAAAGCATTACCCAAGGTAAATGTTTAGAGAATCCTGAAATATGATTAATTCAAACATTTGATTTACCTAGCGATATATGTCATGAGCTTATTTATTTATTTATTTATTTAAACATTGTGCCTAATGAAGGAGTTAGTTCTTTATCCCAATGTTTAATTCATAGCAGCAGCTTTAAATATTTATGAAGTTTCCATCGTTTTTTTCTAATAGACTGAATGGTTCAGTTTGTTGGCTAAGAGAAAGCAGTGAAATTTCAGCAAGATTAAAGATCTCTACTTCTTGAAAAATATGTTTAAAGAAAAGAATAAGGACAGGCACAGTGGCTCATGCCTGTAAGCCCAGCACTTTGGAAGGCCAAGGCGGGTAGATGGCCTAAGGTCAGGAGTTTGAGAGCAGCCTGACCAACATGGTAAAACCCTGTCTCTACTAAAAATACAAAAACTAGCCAAGTGTGGTGGCGGGTGCCTGTAATTCTAGTTACTCCGGAGACTGAGGCAGAAAAGTCACTTGAACCTAGGAGGTGGAGGTTGCGGAGAGCCATTGCACTCCAGCCTGGGTAACAAAAATGCAACTCCATCTCAAAAAAAAAAATAAAAAAGAAAAGAAAATAATAAAATAAAAATTTTCAAAAAAAAATTATAAGGTCATTGGTTCCCAGGTATTTCCACAAATTAGCTAGGTAGTTTTTCCTGGCTGTGTCGCTCTTTTGCAGGTTTTGTATGAGGGGCCCTTAGGCACTGCGTCACTAATAATAAACCTGATTTTTTACTCATCAAATCACTCTAGCTTTGACTTGGAAAGCAAGAGAAAGGCTTCAAACGCATAGTCATTAATGTCAAGCCTCAGCATGTCAAGTTACCTCTCTAAGCTGTTTCCATGAATGAAAAACAGGGATCTCTACCTCCTCGAGGTCATCTAATGAATAAAATAATTACAGAGCATAATTTCTGAGATATAATGTGTATACACTAAGTAGCTACATTTTCAAACTAAAGCAAATTAAAGGTTATAAATCTGATCTCCAAATTTAAGAAGAGAAATTTGAATCCACTGTGAGAGATCATAAAGAGTTAACAAAGACTACTCGATGCTGTGAGGAAAAGGAAGTGAATATGAAATGAGGTCAACAGAGAACAATGTATTACATAAAGCCTACTGCTTATTTACAGAAGGAGGGGCGCATGGAACGGAAATGGGACTTAAGGTTTTATCTGTTTAGACACCTGCCTCAGAGTACTGAATACAAATCTTTACTTCTTCAACCATGGGAAAGACTTGTAGAAACTTTGCAATGAGTCCATACCTTCTAGAAGACAAATGAACTAAAAAAAAGTTTGTACCGATGAGTATATGCATATTTGCATAAACAAATAAATGGACAGATTAACCATAATGTCTACAGCATGCAGCCTAAATCAAAGGTGATTTCACATATTTATTTGATCTAATATAAGTTCACAATCAGGAAAGACTTAACAGGAAAACTGATCTTGAGCTAGTCTCTGAGGAATAGATAAAGGTTTCCTTGACAAATATAGAACAACAGAGGGGTAGAAAGGGAGAGGTCACTTTAAACTTGGGGCACAACATGATTAAAATCAAGAAGGTAGGTGAGCGTAAATTAGCTAAACAGAGAAGAAAATGGCAGAGGGAGTTTTGATTTGAAAGCTCCCAAGTGGAGATTAGTTATATTTCATTCCATTGTTTGAGTCAATAGCTTAAAAGCTAACAATGTCTTCATTTTGTTTAGATTCTACTGTTCTTCAATTTAAAACCTTTCCACATTTTAAGATGAAAACCGTCATTCTAAAATCATACTCTTCAGCCAAGCTCAGTGGCTTACGCCTGTAATCCCAGCACTTCAGGAGGCTGAAGCTAGCAGATCACAAGGTCAGGAATTCAAGACCAGCCTGGACCACATGGTGAAACCCCATCTCTACTAAAAATACAAAGAATTAGCCAGTGTGGTGGCATGCATCTGTAACCCCAGCTACTCGGGAGGCTAAGGCAGGAGAAGCACTTGAAACCAGGAAGCGGAGGTTGCAGTGAGCCGAGATTACACCACTGCACTCCAGCCTGGGTGACAGAACAAGATGCAGTCTCTAGAAAAAATAAAAGGAAGAAAAACATACTTTTCCTAAGAATAGTCTGGCAGGCCACATTTGCATACTCTTTACTTTTCCCATTAGGTATAAGCACAGATTTTTAAAAATATACAAGAAAGCCAGGCACAGTGGCTCACACCTGTAACCCTAGCACTTTGGGAGGCCAAAGCAGGTGGATCACCTGAGGACAGGGGTTTGAGACAAGCCTGGCCAACATGGTAAAACTCCATCTCTACCAAAAATACAAAATTAGCCAGGCACAGTGGTGGGCACCTATAATCCCAGCTACTTGGGAGGCTGGGGCACGATAATAGCTTGTACCCAGGAGGTGGAGGTTGCAGTGAGTGAGATCATGCCATTGCACTCCAGCCTAGGTGACAAGATTGAAACTCAATCTCAAAAATAAAATAAACACACGCACACACACACACCCCTACAAATAATTCAGATGTCCACAACTGGTTCAATAAATTATAATACATCCATACAATGGAGTAGAATGTATCTAATAAAAAAGAAGTGAGAAATATTCCTCTATACTACTTTGGTATGATTTCCAGAATATACCACTAAGTCAACAAAACAAAAATCAAGGTGGAAAAAACTGAACAGCAAGCTACCATTTACCTATGAACAAAAGGATAAACCATGATATTAAAAGGAAAGAAAGTCTGCCTCTAAGAGACGGGATTTAATACATTGGTAGTTGAAGGAGAAAAGCTAGACTATTAATACACGTTGTTTTTCAACTTCACTGTTGGATTGTCTATTTTACATACTTATAAACCAAAATTCAATTTCAAAAAAAAGCAATCTCTAAAAATTGAAAATAAAGTAAATTAACCAAAGTAGGTATGCAGTTGATGGCTTAACCATACAAAGAATAACAATCCTATGCAACCTAAAACACAGTAATTTTACTGTATAAAGTCCCTTTTACAATGTACCCCCAACACACATACACATGCAAAAAAAGAAGAAAAAAAAAAGAAAGAAAAACAAGTTTAAACCATTTCTATTAGTCATATTGTTGATGGTAGTATTAGCATATTCTGAGAATGCTGTGCATTATGTAGGATAAAGCAAACATGTAATTATGTGATATTCTAAATCTATCATCTGCCATTTCCTGAGATCTGCAATTCTCAGCATGAAAGACAGAAGATAGTGATGTACCTCTGTCCGCTGAAAAGGCTCAAAAGTAATGGCCAACTCAAAGAAATGAACACTCCTAGTGCCCTGAGCATAGTCACAAAAGTCTATTTCTGTTAAATGGAATTAGGGTTTCCTTCAGAAACAAATCAATCTAGGTCTGGAAGAGAAAATACACCAGACAAGCCTGTAAAATCTAGTCCAGGGTCATGTCAAATACAGGTAAATCCATGAGGTAAGACTATTTTTTATAAATATATATAAGTCCATGAGTCAAGACTACTTTTTACAAAACAAATTAAAACAATAATTGGTCACAGGTGAAAAATGCCAGTAAGCCAACAATTTCTGAAAATCAATAAAAGGTAAAAATGACCGCTTTGAAAAAGTTGTTCTCAAAGAAATAGTCAAATAAAAAGAAGAACATATTAGATCATAATTTTGTAACTGTTAATAAACTAATGGATTCAGGTATTAATCAGCAGCAGCTACTATGCTGACAAAAAAAGAAAGACAAACAGATATATGAGCTTCTCAACAGAAAACACATAATCACATGTATCAGACGTAGTCTTGACCTAAGCCCCACCAAAAAAAAAAAGTGAAACTGAATCTGATCATCAATTTCAAGTCAACTAATTTATAAGAAACAAAAGAACATGTTAAACAACATCAGGGAATAGTCAGAGGGGGAAACTCTCCACAACTTAATAACCGGGTTTCTTCAATAAATTAATGGGGAGGGAGGAAGGAAAAATAGTGAGAGAGTGGAAGGGATCGAGGAAAAGGGAGAAAGTAGCGGCAAAGAGAGAGAGGGAGAGAGAAAGAAATAGAGGATATTTTAAAATTCTTAAAAGATATATCTATTAATTGCAGTAAAAGAGCCTTATTTGGATCCTGGCTCAAACTGTACAAAAAGATGATAAAATTATGTGATCCCATTTGAAATCTGAACACCGATTAGATGTTTGAAATTAAAAATTGTTAGCATTTTTGGTACAATAATAGTTACATGGTTATGAGTTTTAAAATTCCCTCTTTGCCTTTTAGGAATAGAGATGATAAAATAGAATTCAGAGATGTATTTCAAAATAACACAGAATACGGAAGTGGGTGGGGGTATGGATAGGCCAGGATTGGCCACGGGTTAATGAATGTTGGGGCTGAGTGCCGAGTATTTGGGGGTTCAGAATACCATTCTTTTTAACTTTTGCCTGTGTGAAATTCTGCATAAACAAATGCATACTTTAGAAAATACAAGACATTCAGTAGCCGTGAGAACATTCACTGCACAGAGCTTGGTTTCTAAATACAAATCACTGCTAAAAAGTACCAGAGCTTCTTGAAGACATGGATGCTTTCAAGTCTGCGGGAAGAAAATGACAAAGAGAGCCTGGAACATCTTGTGCTAGAAAGTGAAGAAGCAATTATGGAAGACTGTCAGCCAATAAGTGTAGAAGGAATAATAGAATTTTAAAATAACCATTTCTCAAGCACCAGTCTAGTTATTGTTTCAGGGAAAGTTAAAAATGGATGGTGAAACCACGGAGCAATAGGCTTTATTGACATATAGGAAATTTGCCCAAGTCTCAAGGATGGCAAATTATTATTAACTGCACACAGGAAAGGTACATTTTTACAAGAGGGAGAGCTAGTGAACATCTCTCCTTAGACAAGTTAGTGATCAAATTTCTATCACCAATAAAGGGACCATCTGATACCATGCACCTCTTCTGATGATGCAATCAAAGGTATAAAATGTGGCCAAAAATGTTTAACTTGAATCCAGTCCTGAAGGAACGATCAGAAAACTGACTTGGACTCTTCATTAATATTGAAAAAAAGCAGGAGACTGACATAGGTTCAAGAAAACCAAATAAACATGACAACAAATACAGTATATGACCCTTGTTTGAAACCCAAATGGGAGTGGAAAAGGGAGAAGCTATAAAGAATAATATTGTGACAACTGGAGAAATTTTGATACAACCATATATTAAACATAATGATCACTTCAGTTTAACTTTCTTAAGTATTATAATTGTGTTGTTTTCTATGTCCTTGTTAAACTAAAAACAAAAGTTAGAGCATACATGTAGACAGATATAGAAAAGAAAAAGAGGTTGTAAAATGTAAGTAACTGTTGAATAGATCTATGAAAGCCATATGGTGTTTGCCATACTATTCTTTCAACTTTTCTGTGGGTTCTACATTTTTAAAACAAAAAGTTGATGAAAAATATATTCTGGGCCAGGTGTGGTGGATCATCCCTGTAATCCCAAGACTTTGGGAGGCTGAGGTGAGAGGATTGCTGGAGCCCAGGAGTTTGAGTTATGCCTGGGCAACATAGTGAGACCTCGTCTCTCTCTCTCTCTCTCTCTCTCTCTCTCTCTCTGTGTGTGTGTGTGTGTAGATATATATGTATATGTGTACATATATGAATATTTATAAACAGTGTATGACGTACAGGTGACGTGGCATCATTGCCTTTGCTCTTCTGGATTTTCTCCTTGGAGCTCTCTTTCTGATTGAATGCTTGCTCGGCAAATGATACCTCCAGGTTGATGTCTCTTTCAGAGGCAGGTGTCTTCTCAGGTAGGTTCAGCTTCTTTTCATCAACAACAAGGTTAGATGCCTGGTCTGGGGGGCAGGGAGATAAGAACCCAATTCATATGCTTTACTTCTTTATTTCTTTTAAAAAAAAAATTCGAATGCATTCACTACATAAAAACATTTGGGGAGAATACTATGTTCTCTAGGCAATACTTAGCTGTTACTTTAATAATAAGGAGTGTACTAAAAAATCCTATGGATGGTGAATGGAAAGTGGGCAGGGAGATGGTGGTGGCTAGCAATCTATAGTTCAACTGTGCAGTCTTTGAGATCACAATCCTTAAACCGGATTCCAATTCCAAAGCACTGCTGAAAGATAACAAACTTCTAATGAAAAACCTCAACCAAAACCTAAAATGCAATTAAAAAAAAAAAACCTAAAATGCAATTTAAAAAAAAAAAAACAAAGAAAGAAAAACCTCAAAAGCTTTTGAAGTCTTCATTGTTGTTTTAATCTACACAGAGAAACTAAAAGCAAAAGAAGAGGGAGGTGATGAGCAGTAAACTCTTGTAAAGCTAGTAATTTACCATTTAATTAATTTACCCAGAGTGGATCAGATTCTTGGAATAAACTTCTTCCACACCCTACATTTCCTTTCTGGAATATTACCTATCTATCATAGTAAAAATTCCAAAACAAGAGTTAGTGCCAAAAAATTATCACTATGCGAGTCGGCTCTGGACGTACCTGTCACGGGAATGGTTGGGTTTGTGCCTGATTATGTCAAAGAGTATAACAGTTCCTACAACTATAAATACTAGTCAAATCATTTTCACATATTTACATCAAGATTTCAAGGATACAGTCAGTTTAACTTTTTTTGGCATTTATGGTTTCTTGTTAATCTTCCAGAAAGGAATTAACATTTAAAAACCTCTTTGCTGAAAACATCTGATTTAAGCTTTGGAGAAAATTCTTCTAAATTTGACTATTTGGTAAACTTTTGGTCTTAATGCAACGTGACATTAGAAAAAACCTAGAGCCAATAACCAAGATAATTGATATTTTCTCACTGTAGACCTTTGAATCACAGTAAAAAGCTATGAATTACAAAATGCAGTGTATACACATGCTTACGTACTAACAGGCTCACATGTGAACACAACGAAGTCATGGAAGCTAAAGTCAATTAAAAATTTAATAGATAAATGTCATAACTACATATATAATTGAAAGTCTGCAGTTCAGAAAAATAATTTTTATATTCATTTAAATTCAAAATGAATTTAAGCCATTAAAATTTTGTAACCGTTAATAAACTAACGGATCTAGATCTAGGTATTAATCAGTCTCAAGAGAAAACACACAATCACATATCAGTCTTGACCGCCTTACCACCAAAAATAAAGTGAAACTGAATCTGATCATCAATTTCAAGTCAACTAATTTATAAGAAACAAAAGAACGTGTTAAACTACACCAGGGGAATAGTCAAAGGGGAAAACTCGCCACAACTTAATTACCAGTTTTCTTCAATAAATTAATGGGGAGGGAGGAAGGAAAAACAGTGAGAGAGGAAGGGATAGAAGGAAAGGGAGAAAGTAGCGGGAAAGAAAGAGAGGGAGAGAGAAAGGGATCATCCCTGTAATCCCTTTGGGAGGCCGAGGTGTGAGGATCGACTGTTTTAATCAAAACAAGTTTAGAAGTAAATATGAATCTAGTCTCATTCAGACCCATTCAATAAGCAGGGTAAACTTTGTGGTCATGAGACCCGTGCAGCCACACAGGGCTCCAAGCTCAGGAGGGTCCCACACTTAGTTTAATGCTCTGCTGTTACATCATGAAATGTAAGTAAGAGGCCCTATATTTTCAGTTTGTCCTTGACCTTGCAAATTACATAGCTGGTCCCGGTGGCATCTCATAGTTAAGAAAGTAAGAATTGACCTGTGCTAATTCCAAAACTAAGAATGCATTTAAAGACCATTGAAATTATTAGCATTCATCTGCTGCCTTGTATATTTATGTTTCTCAACAGCCTATTTTTTAAAATTAGAATACTTATACATTTGATGGTTAACTTTTTAAAGTATCAACATGAATGTGAAAGCACAATATTAATTTTATTTTCCCTCTGGTTTATACTCTTTTATGTTTTACTGTGACTATGTACATTGGTTTCCTAGGAAACCATTCTAAGAGGAAAAAAAATGATTAGCCATTTTCTTAAATTAGAAGCTACCTTTCCAGCAGCTGAGTAGTTGTGGGCAAGAATTTAGAAACTACTCTTTCTTCTCAGCACCTCCACGTCAGGGTTGTAATAAATACCCTCACACTCACACCCACACCAACAGACTCTGCGGAATGTAAAGCTGAGTAATTATAATTAAGGTAGTATACATTCAACACATAAATTTCCTTCAAAAGCATGGCAAAAAAAAAATACTGCACATAAAAGTTCTGGCTAAAATAGAAAATCAAGTTAAGGCAGAGTACAGGAAAAAAAAAACAGTTTTGGGGCTAAAGGGGGGCGCTGCTACAAGAAATGGATGATTACTTGGTTAATAAATGATGATTGAATTATCCACTCTTAACAAGAACAGAATGTTTAAATCGACCTTTTGGCTCTTAAGGTCCTAAAATAAGTAACATTTCTGTTATCTAGTCTCTTTTTAAGCGCACAATAGCACTGAGTGACAAACAGTTTGCAAAACTCCTCAAGTTTTTCAATTGTCCAAAATATCCTGAAGTGCCTTTAAAAAAATTTTTTTAACCACCTGACTTTAAGATTCAATTGCTTTTATTTAAAAAAAAGATTTTTTCATTCCTCTGTGGAAACCCCAAAGAAAATAAGAAACTTCACATATCAATATAAAAGTTTTAAAAATTATTAGGACATTATTAATATTTCTAAATATATTTCATAGAATTTACGATTTAACGAAAAATGAACACATTACAGTGGATTAATGAATTTGAAATGTGACAACCCTTGCAACTATACAACTTAGCAACTTTTTCATTTAACATAAGTATCATTGGCGGAATATGTTTAAAAACCCAAGTGTGGGGAAAACATTCAAAAGAGACTGTGTCATCCATGCCTTCAAATTTTAATCAGAAACAGCCCCACTTTTGAACCTGAGACAATGTTTCCATGCATTTCATCCTCAACTTTCCAATGTTTGGCTTACACTAGTTAATTCACTGGCTATCGAAACAGCAAGGCATTGCCCGGAACAGGTGCAACCGGGACTACTCAGTGACTTGGATGGCATCACACATTCTCTTGTTATTCTGATTGGAGGCTCTAATTCCCACTCTGTAGCATTCCAGCAAAAGCAGATGTAAATCAAGCAGCAAGTTTGTCACATTTCACTTGGCTGCTGCAAGCTAGGCAGGAAAGTGCACACCGTGAACTTGTCTCCCAGAAAGTTTGTTGCTATAGCCCACATCATGATCCCTGGCAAGGGAGGAAAATACCAAGAAAAGGACAATGTTTCCTCAGTATCCGTTCACCAACTGCCAGTCACTCTTCCCCAGAGGCCAAAGCATATTGCCATTGGCACAAAAAACCCGTCTGTCTCTCCTGACGATCCAGCTCTCTAGCAGGCAGGGTAGCTATGCCAGCTTGCTTGCCACGTCAACATCTGCGGGCACATAGATTTGAGAAAACACCTAGTGATTTCATTCAGATATACACAACTGGAGAAATAGCCACAGAACAGTAAAAAGCAAGTGCTTTTTAAAATATATATGTGTATATACACGTGCGTGCCTATTATCTTTAAGGCAGGGGTGCAAGAGAGAAGTCCTGAGAAAAGCGTGGAAGGAAAATGTCCCATCTGATCTTGAATAATGTAGGATTTTTATAGGAACGTTGGGAACACTCCTCAGTCCTCCACAGTTTACCTAATACCCCTCCCCCTACTACTTCCAAACCCAATGCAACACTATTAATGACAGGAACACACCAGTTGCTAAATTTTAGGAACATAAACATAGGTTCACCTTTGTTTTTGTTTGTTAAATAGCAATTAAGGACTACATTTTTAAGCTTAAATCTATTAACTTCATTTACAATATTTTTCCTTTTTGTAAACAAACAAAATAGCCATAAATTCTTTCTTAGTATTAACAAAGTCTTAATAGTTACTTTTAGCAGGGCATGGTGGCTCACACCTGTAATCACACTTTGGGAGGCTGAGGCAGGCGGATCATTTGAGGTCAGGAGTTCGAGATCAGCCTGGCCAACATGGCAAAACGCTGTCTTACTAGAGATTAAAAAAAAAAAAAAAAAAAAAAGCCGGGCATGGTGGCACGTGCCTGTAATCCCAGCTACTGGGGAGGCTGAGGGAGAAGAATCACTTGAACCAGGGAGGCAGAGGTTGCAGTGAGCCAAGACCACGCCACTGCACTCCAGCCTGGGCAACAAAGCAAGACTCCACCTCAAAAAAAAAAAAAGTTAACTTTCCTCCATACCTCGAGTTTCTAATTCATTTCTGGAATACCGAACATTGGCAGAGAAAGAAAAGGAAAAGGAAAATTATAATTAATTGCCCATAACAATCTTAACTATTTTTAAAAGTTTTTCTATAATATCTAAAAGGTTACCCCATTTACGAATTAGGAGCTTGTGATTTAAGAAAAATGCTGCAAGTTTGCTGCCTCAGTAACTAGCTGTGTGACATTGGAAAGTGGCTTCACATCTCTCAGCCTCAGTTCACGCATCTGTAAAATGGGTTAATAAGAACAATAACCATTCATCGTTTTTGAGTGTATTAAAAGAAGTAAACATCTACTGATAGCATCTGGCACATGATAAGCATTCAGGAAGATACATACATGCATTTTGAATCAGAAGATAGGGATACACATTTTAAAAAATGGAAGGTCAACTATAAGCTCAGCCTCACGTAATGATCCACTTGGGACCCTACATTAGCATTTTAATATAATTTGCTTACTAGAATTGAAGGTGAGTATAAGACTGTAACTGTTTGTTATACTAATTAAAGGGAGGAAAAAGAAAAAAAAAAAAAAAACAAGAGAACAGGTTCAACATACCATCTCTTCCTTGGTATTTGTTTTCATTTGTTCTAAGTGACTGCAATTCAGTGCCATCTGGAGCCTAAACAGAAAACAGGCCATTTAGTCATCTCCAACCCAAAACCAGAGAAAATGGTATTGTAAATAATTCTGTTACTAATCTTTAGAGTACAAGAAACGTACTCAGAATTATATAATCACAGTGGAAAAAAAGATGCTAAGGTAATAATCAACAAGCAGTCATCCAAAAAATATTTGATTACATACAACTTGTAAGAGGCCATAGTAGACCCAGTGGGAAACATGAAAAAAGATATGAGTGTGTTCCTGTCATCAAGAATGCCACTGTTTAGTGGAGGAGAAAAGACAAACATGTTAAAAAATTAGTAGTATCTATTAGTTGATGAATGGATAAGCAAAATTTGGTCTATCTGTACAATGGAATGTTATTTGGCTATGAAAAGAAATGAAGTATTGATACATGCTGCAACATCAATAAACCTTGAAAGCATTGCACTAAGTGAAAGAAACCAGTCACAAAGAGCCACATATTATATGATTTCATTGATAGCAAACGACCATAACATGCAAACCATAGAGACACAAAGTGGACTTGTGGTTACCTAAGAGTAGGAAGGGAAATATGGAGAATGACTGCTAATGGATACAGGCTTTCTTTTGGAGATAATAAAAATATGCTAAAATGGATGGTGGTGATAGCTGCACGACTGTGAATATGCTAAAAAAAAAAACATTGAACTGTATACTTTAAATGGGTGAATTGCATAGTATGTGAATTATATCTCAATCATGCTGTTACAAAACTATTACAGTACTTGTCTCTAATAAAATAAAGTCTTCAAGTTAAAAAAAAAAAAAGAAAGAAATGTGAGATAAATAACTAAATTACCAAACCAGCACTAAGAGCTAAAACATCAGAAGGAACTCCTGTTTTCAAGGGGTCAGGGCAGTGACCCCCAAGGAATGGAGCCTTCCAAAGGCTTATGGACATAGTAAGCCACAGCTGATTCCACTCAGCATTTAAAGTGGCCAGACAGTACTTCCTCCTTTCTAGGTAAGGCTTCAGAAGAAATTCAGAGATCAAGAAGGAGAGTGTGGATCAACCACAGAAAGAGGTCTATTCGAATTATTTTAAAAATAATATTGATAATTCTACTGGATTTTATCTCAACAGACAGAAAGTGGCCATTATAGTCTCACCACACATTTCACCTCAAGCTGTTGTCCAAGAAGGACTTCATCCTCCTGTGTTGAGAAATATTAAGTTTACCCTGACCCCATGACTCCCTGGTGGAGAATACTTTAGTTGTTCTGTATTCGGTGGTGAGCAGGTAATAGCTGCCTACTGGGTATATTTTTGAGTTATGGGAAAGCACAGAACACCTGTTTGTTAATAATAGTCACCTGTTCAGAGAGAATAAATACATGGATCAGAATCTGCTCAGGGACTCCAGCCTGGAATGCTGTCAGCCCCTGAGATTCTCAGCTCAGGAGGCTGTTGGCCCCCTGGATAGACCCACTTTGCTGTTCTATCTGGGTGTCCACTTCTCATTGCCTTCAGGCCACCTGGGTGGGGGTCTCCCTGGCTGAGCTGGTACTTGGTACACCTGAAGTCTAAAAAGAGCCTAGAAAAGCGCTTGGCTAGGGACATCTAAGCCATTAATGCACCACTTAGAGACAGGGAAGGCCCAGGGCTGTTACAGTGACTACCAAGTCACAGAAATGGTATGTGAGTGCCCAGCATCACTTTAATCCCCTGAAGGACAGAGCAGGCCCATCCTCCGTCCCTCCTCCCACAAGCCTGCAGAGGCTGGCCCTCCATGGCACAATGAACACAGTGAGTGATTCCAATCTCACAAAAGAACACATATTTTGTAGCATGTGGTCGGAATTATTTTCCTTAGCAATTGAAGATGGCAGTACAGATGGTGTTCATTTCTGTATTATATTTCCTAGTGTCAGCAAGGCCTTCATGAGGAAGCATTTAACATGGAAGAGCTGAATATATACTCACTCAAAAACAGAAGAACTGCAAGTGAAGATGGCTGGCCCAAGTCTGCGTGAGGGATGGGGGAGATAAAGCACTTTTCTGATGGGTGGCAGTGTTTCAATTAAAGGCACACAGTGGAAGCAAGTTAACATTATTTTAATTTCCTTTTGCTAGTTCTCTCTTAAGGACTCCATCAGATGATACAATCCACCAATTACCTTGGACTCAAACCATGTGGTTCAGACACTGCCAGAAACTTGCTGGAAAATGTTGTTTCTAGCACGGTGTAGCAACATCCTCTTGGAGACTGGCAGAAATCCTGCAGTTTATATTTTGCTTAGCCTCAGCTCTCTGTTTCCTCCCCGTTTTCACTTCCTCTTAACTCCCTTAGTGAGGGTTCTCTAATTGGGAGGAAAATGTCATAATACTAAATTTCCTTACCAATCATTTTTCTTCAGCTGGAAACCTAGTCCAGTCCTTTAACACGAGTGTGGCTATCCCAAATAACCACGGGCTGGTAAGCAAGTGCTTAACTTCAGCAAGTGCCTGGAGCAATTTAAGGACCCCAAAACTCCTATAAAATGGACTGGACTTGATCTGAAATTGGTCATGCAAATAGAGTAGGAATCTGCAGCTAGAATTTTCTTGCAAGAATAAAATGTCTACAAAAGACAAAAAAAGTATCTTCATGACAGGAAGATACCTTAAATACAAACCCTTCTATTCCTCTTTCTAAATAAATAATCATACAATTTTTCTTATCTTTTATTTATAGTGTAAATAGAATCTCAGATTTAGGATGCTTAATTTCAGAATCATGTACAAAATGCAAATATACCAGGATAGAGAGTGGTTAAAAGCATGTACTTCAAAGTCAAACAAATTTGAGTTTACTATCTACAGGACACTGAATAAGTTACTTAAAATCTGGCCAGGTGCAGTGGCTCACACCTGTAATCCCAGCGCTTTGGGAGGCTGAGGCAGGCCGATCACCTGAGGTCAGGAGTTCGAGACCAGCCTGGTCAAAATGCTAAGGCCCCATTCTACTAAAAGTACAAAAAATTAGCCAGGCATGGTGGCATGAGCCTGTAGTCCCAGCTACTTGGAAGGCTGAGTGAGGCAGGAGAATCGCTTGAACCTTGGGAGGCTGAGGTTGCAATGAGTTGAGATTGTGTCACTGCACTCCAGCCTGGGTGACAGAGAGAGACTGCATCTCCAAAAATAAAAAATAAAATTGATGAGCCTCAGTCATCAAATGGAAATGCTAATACCTCACTCACAGGACAGCTGTAAGGATTAAGAGATAAAGTGCATAAAGTGGTTAGCACAGTAAGTGTTCACCAACGGTGGCAGCAACTCATATTATTATTATTACAATCATTGTTCAAGAGTCCCATTCCATGTTCATTCCCAGTCCAACCACCTCACTGTGTCTTCTAGGCCAGAGCCACTCAGGCCAGAATGTAAATCAACTTTGACCTCAAGAGCATCCTCTAGATCAGCTGATTTTCTTCTTTCTTTCTGGCAGCAAGACTTTTTCCATGAAAGAAAGAAGGATCATTTATATTCTGTGCAAGCTCCTTATGCCCTTACAGATGAATAACAGGTAATCCACCATCTGGCTTATTTGAGTAGCACTGATGTAAACCACACAGTTCTTGTACTGTTTGTTGCTGTTTGAGATGGGGTCTCGCTTTGTCACCTAGCCTGGAGTGCAGTGGCACAAACACAGCTCACTGCAGCCTCAACCTTCTGGGCTCAAGCAATCCTCTGGCCTCAGCCCCCCCAAAACAGCTGAGTCTACAGGCACACACCACCACACCCAGCTAATTCCTGTGCTTTTTATAGAGACTGGGTTTCGCTATGTTGTCCAGGCTGATCTCAAACTCTCCAGCCTCAGCCTCCCAAATTGCTGGGGTAACAGCTGTGAGCCACCCCACCTAACCTCTCAAACTTTCATCATGCCTTCCCTGATACCTCTCTTCATTCATCAGTCCCGTACTCTACCAGATCCCACAGCTTTCATTAATAAGTTAATCATCTAGACAAATATTTACTCCACCTTTTGTGTGCTGTCACTTGTGCTAAGGCTAGACACCTTAAAGTTTAACCTAAAGCTGCCTCCTTACATATCTTACTGTTCATCCTAAAGGATTTCTTTGTCTTTAGTGAACTCTAACCTAATTGGATGTGTGAATAGACTGTAATCTACTCTTGTGTCAATCACCAAATTTTGGGCAATCAAAGGTGACCAACTATTCAAACCATATTCAAGTAACACAAAGCTGTAACCAATCCAGCTGTTTCTGTACCTCACTTCCATTTTCTGTAGATCACTTTCCTTTTCCTGTCCATAAATCTTCTTCGACCACACGGTAGCACTGGAGTCTCTGAATCTGCTGTGACAGGGGGCTGGGGGGCTGCCTGCTTTGCAAATTATTCTTTGCTCAATTAAACTCTATTAAATTAAATTTGTCTAAGATCTTTCTTTAACACCACAAAGGAGAAGTTACTTCGTATCTCAAGGTTCCTACTGTGTAATTCAGCTGCAATTAGCTCCCTCACACTCTACGTCATCCATCCCCAAATGAGTCTAGGGAAAAATCAAATATTCCTACAAGCATTAATAGATAGGGAAGAATATCCTGCTCCTACTTTTCTCTAAATAACAATTGGTAGTCACGTTGTCTCTGTCACCCCTAGTGGAGTTAGGGTCACTTCTAATGCTCCAAGGACACCCTCTTCCCCTAATGCATGGATTATCAAGCTGAATTTTAACTAGCTTGGTTTTCTGCCCCATGAGTATAATTTCCAGAAAGGCAGGAAACAAGTCTCTCTTGTTCCCTGCAAGCATAGAGCTTTGGTGCCTGGCATAGAATAAGTATTCACATGTTTTTAATAATTTGAATCAAACCAGATTGATCCAATTGATTGTAAGCAATTATTCCTTTGCCTTAACATCAAAAAAGAAAACCTACTGTTTCTTTTGATTCTCTCTGTTGAGCAAATATGTCTCTGACGTCAGGAATCTGGTGTTGTTTGTTTCTTTTCCTCAAGGTCTGGGAGACCATCTCTACTCGTTTCTGAACTGCTGCTGCCTGGGTCCGGGTCAGTGTTGATAAAAACACCATGCTTTCCTGTGGGTCTCCAGCAGACTCTCCGAAGAGATTGGACAAACCGGCCTCTTTAAGCCACTCTTCTTCCAATTCTCCCTCTAAGACAGTAGAGAAAAGTGGTATTTAAATCACAAAATATAAGAACCTTTACATTTTTTAAGTTTTTTAAAATTCTTACTAAAACTCTTCTATTGTGACCAAACCACGGTGCTAAGAATCATTATCTGAAACTTGGACAACTGCCATACACTCCAGCCACAACGATATCAAATTTTAGATCAATTTCATATATACTCAATTAAAAATTTTTAATGACTTCACATGTAATTAACCTCTATAACTTCCCTGCAGATTAACACAGAGGATGATACTGTTCCCCTTCCAGAGATGAGCAAGGAATGAAAAGATAACTTACTTCCATCAAGTTACAGAAAGAAGTCAATGCTGGGGCTGTACATTAAGCCCAGTTTCTTGGCTTAAATTCACTACTACCTCAGACTCCAACACTAATTTATGGAAAGCTTTGTTTTCTCTGTTCACTGTAGCTGACAGGGAGTGCAGCAAAGAAGCTAACAGCATCAGAACATTGGGAACTAATCAATTTCAAATTAATTTTTCTAATCTTCCAAGTCAGCACATCAGATTATGTTATTTTACATTTTTTTAAAAGCACAATATATTCAGCATAAAAAGCTTATATAGGAAGCTAATTAAATAACAATCAATTCAAAACACTGAAAGCAGAAAGTAAATATTCATATGCCTGTAAATATTGTGTAAGATCTAACGAAAGCTTTTATTTAAAAAGCAGAGATAATTAGAATGGAGTATTTCCAGTCATCATGTTTATAGTGGAAAATAAAAGAGCAATGAATTGGGCACAAAAGACCTGAGTCTGTACCCCATTTCTGCAACTTGATAGCCAAGTCTTTTTGGACAAGTCACTTAGCCTCAAGTTCACTCTGTTTTCTAATCTGTATACCAAAGCACACCTCTTCCAGCTATGCCATAACTACAGGTGAGAATGTTACATGGGAGGAGCTTTGAGAAGCCCTAAGATAGACTATATCACATGGTATAGCCCCTAGTCTTGCCTATCTTTCTATACTATATAAATTTGTTGAGGGCAGAAATCAAGTATTAATAACTTTGGATTCAAGAAACTAAGCCAGTGCAAGGCACTGTGTACACCAGACAACTAGAACAGTTTACTAGCATAAAAAGTAAGTCAGCAAGGCTGGGCATGATAGCTCAAGCCTTTAATCCCAGCACTCTGGGAGGCCAAGGTGGGTGGATCATTTGAGGTCAGGAGTTCGAGACCAGCTTGGCCAACATGGTGAAATCCCATTTCTACTAAAAAGACAAAAATTAGCTGGGCGTTGTGCCGCAGGTCTATAATCACAGCTACTAGGGAGGCTAAGCAAGAGAATCACTTGAGCTCAGGAGGTGGAGGTTGCAGTGAATGGTGATTGTACCATGGTATTCCAGCCTGGGTAATAGAGTAAGACTCTGTCTCAAAAAAAAAAAAGTAAGTCAACCATTATTATTTATGCTGTTAAGGTAGAACTCAGTATTGGTGTATAAAACCAAACTGCAGGTAAAAAGTTGATATTGTTACATAAGGAAAATAAACAAGATTACTATGTAGAGTTACTTTTTCCATTAAAAAGTGGAGGTAAAACTTAAACAATTTAAAGTCTAAGAAAAGGTGTGGGCATGTAAAAAACATTCTCAGTCTTCTTGATGATCACATAGTGCATAAAAATCAATGAAACTAATTTAACGTCAGAGAATTATCAAACAGATAATGACATACTTCTAGGTATCAGGCTTAAAAGCTGCTTTCTCAAACATATTTTCTCCTTATTCAGCAGACGAGTGTGATACTTCCATCTTGAAACATGGAGAAAGAAAGGGTAAGAAAAAAGAAAAAAGAAACCACCCACAAGGACTGGTTTGTGTAAATTTTCTTTCTAGAAAGTCCTGGCTAAGAACAAGATACGTATCCTCAAATGTATGAACTATTAATTTCCACAAATAAGCTTGACTTTACTGGTAACATATTTGGGAAACAATGAGAGAAAAATAAATGAGAAGCTAAAGAATGAGTTAACTGTAGTGTTCTTTTAGATCTAAGAAATCAAATTAAGAAAAATCTCCAAGTTCTTTTCAAATTAGTGTTGGTAGATTTTTCAAGCAATGTTGTAGCCAAGGAGAAAAATCTTATTTATATAGATTTTGCTACTTAATTGGATCCCAAGTCATTTAGTTAAGAAGTCATTGTGTTGAGAATGAAGTCTCTATTAGTGGATCACAAGGCACTGATTGGGGCCCTCACATTCTGGCATTTATGTATCAACATATACAAACATACTTACAAATTTATAGATGGCACGAGGCATAGAAAAAAAGCTAATACAACAGGCAAGAGAAATGGACATGAAAAACTTGGTAACTGCTTGCTTGAATTTCAGAAATTAAAAGAAACAGTACAAAAAAAAAATTTAAGTTTTACATGTTTCTCCCAGAACATCAAGTATCATAGCAGAGAATGGGAAATATGGTGGGAAAGTGACTCTACAGAAATTATGCACCAAATATGAGAAAGAAGTAAATATGGAAGCTAAAAATGAGAATGCCACCATCTACTGTCCAAGTCTATATTTTTAGACTAGTTGGCTAAACCCGGGCCATCACATCCAATCTGGAGAACTATATTTTGAATGACAAAATAGCCAGGCCCACAACAGGTCTTTGAAAACCACCCACAAGGATTGGTTTAAGTGAATTTTCTTTCCATAAAGGTCCTGGCTAGGAACAAAATAAGTGTCCTCAAATATATGAAAGGCTATCATGTAAAAATAGAAGAGCCTTGTTCTGTTCTCCCAAAGGCATAACTACAGCAAGAGAGTCAAAGTTAGAGGACTGTAGATGGTAAATCAATAAAATAAAGACCAAAAGAACTCAAGCTCACTGACCACTGGAAAAACAGTATCACTGCCAAGTAGTGTTCTTTCTATCGCCATCTGTACTCACTAGAGACCAAATGACAATGTGGCTACCACATTACAGAAGAAATTTAAAGGGAGGTTAGATGGTTTCAAAGATGAAGTCTAACTCTAAAAGCTATGATACAGTCAGCTTAGCCATCAACATTACAGCCATGTCTATGACTAGTCTAACTTACTCATGCCCGTTGTATCTGGCAGTTGCATCCATAAATCTGCCTCAAATAAGTAATTTTCAAGTTGAAAGGCAGTATTTGTTTTCGGTGGTCCTATCTTTAATTTTTCTTATTCTCTTCCTTTATATGCATTCATTTCCTATAAATACACATACAAACGACAAAAGCTTTATTTGTTAGTTATTACCATCAGGCTCTTTGACGACAACCACCTCTTGAGCTTCTTGTCTGTTTTCACTAGATCTCTTGATGTTTTCTAGTTCTATCCAATAGTCTTCCATAGACAGTTCATCCAAAGAATCCTGGGAACTTGATCGATCAAATGGAGGCTTCTCCATAACTTTGGTGGTGGTACTTTCCTGGTTCATAGTGTATTGGCCATATTTGCCACTGCAAATTCAAAAGAACACATGGTTCATTTTAGTACAAAAGGAAGTAGTATAATTTCTAAAATAACACAGCAAAAAGCTGGAGAATTTTTTAACTCCTTAAGTTTTCCTTAATAAAACCAAAGGGATATATATTTTGAAACTCTTTACTCTGGAGTGCTACTGATTACAATATGCTTGTAAAATAAACAGTTTCAGGCTCCACAGAAAAGGGTGGTGAAGTACAAATAGCAACACGGTACATCTTTTTCCATTTATATTAAATGAAGACTTACTTTTCAAAGACATTCATATATTTTTAGAGACAAGGTTTTACTCTGCTCCCAAGGATGTAGTGTACCAGTGTGACCATAGCTCATTCTAATCCCAAACTGCTGGGCTCAAGTGATCCTCCCACCTCAGTCTCCTGAGTAGCCTCTACTACAGGTGTATACTATCTTGCCCAGTCAACTTTTTTTTTTTTTTCCAGAGATGTAGTCCCTCCATGTTGCCCAGGTTGGTCTGAAACTCCTGGCCTTAAGTGATCCTCCCACCTCAACCTCCCAAAGCACTGAGATTAACGGCATGAGCCAACACACCCAGCCATAAGGCTCACTTAAACCTGAAACTTCGCTTTTACAAAACAATATGTTAAATCTTGATTACAGACTATTAATTGGGAATGAACTTTATATAATTTTTGTGTTTATCATTTATATTCATACATGATAAACACAAACTTAGTCAACTGTTATATAGCAAATATCTTCAACCAATGAAGTAGTATTTGAATTTCCATTATATTTTTGAGACCAAAATAGGATGATTTGAGTTTGCTGTTATACTGTACCATAGAAAGCAATTTCTAATCTTTATTTATAAATGGGCCCATGATTTATCTGTATTAAAAATTCCATAATGTGGTAAAAACTCATTTATTAGCAATTCTGAATAGCTTAGAATTACTTCAAACATTTCTCTCTCAGATATTATTTATGAAGAATAAATTGAATAAATGAGAGTATTTGTGTAACTTCATGTAAACTGTATTTTTTGTTATAATTCACATCTCACCTACTTCCAAAATTGAATTAAAGGAACTTATAATAAAAACCTAAAAAACCAATATTAAATTTTTGTTTTATTATTATTTATAGAGAAAACCACAACCGATTAATTAAAAGAAGAAATTTTTCAGCTTTGATGCCTTTCCTTCATATACAATTGATACTGTTTGGCTATGTCCCCACCAAATCTCATCTTGAACTGTAGTACACATAAGCCCATGTGTCCTGGGAGGGACACATTGGTGGGTAATTAAATCATGGGGCATTTACCTTCATGCTATTCTCATGATAGTGAGTTGTTAGGGGATCTGATGATTTCATAAAGGGCTTTTCCCCTTTACGCTCATTATTTCTCCTTGTTGCCAACATGTGAAGAAGGACGTATTTTTGCTTCCCTTTCCGTCAGGATTATAAGTTTCCTGAGGCTTCCCCAGCCATGCTGAACTGTGAGTCAATTAAACCTCTTTGCTTTATAAATTACCCAGGCTTGGGTATGTCTTTATTAGCAGCGTGAGAATGGACTAATACAACAATAATTTTTTTTAAAAGAATACAATTTGAGTGAGAACAATAGTTGAACAACTGTTTTGCTATTCTAATTTCCAGATTGCTTCTCCCAAGAAGGACTTCCAATTTTTTTCCAATTCTTTGTTTGCCAGGTTGGTTGTACTTACTGTACATACTGAAAATAATTTTTAAATTACAACAAAATTCTTTAATAGCATGTGACCATTCACATTTAAACTAGCCTTTCTCAAAACTGTTTAAAGTAAGATTTTAGGTGCGATGGCTCACGGCCCTAATCCCAGCACTTTAGGAGGCCAAGGCTGGTAGATCATGAAGTCAGGAGTTCAAGACAAGCCTGGCCAACATAGTGAAACCTCGTCTTTACTAAAAATACAAAAAATTAGCTGGGTGTGGTGGTGGGTGCCTGTAATCCCAGCTACTTGGGATGCTAAGGCAGAAGAATCACTCGAACCCAGGAGGTGGAGGTTGCAGTGAGCCGAGATCATGCCACTGCACACCAGCCTGGGCGACAGAGCAAGACTCTGTCTCAAAAATAATAATAATAGTAGGATTTTAATAGCACGTAAGGGAGAGGGTCACTAAACTCTAGGCAAATCTATCCAACAGCTTAATTCTAACTGGTTTGTTAGGAAAAGTCAAGGAACTTAATTGCCTGCCTATTGCTGCAAATAAATGCTGTGTAACTGAGCACTTAGCTTTAATCTGCTAATAAGCCAGTTTTATTCCTTTAAGGATGATTCTTCCTGCCTTGATTCCTGCCTTTATTAATGCTGATTGCATGCATGAATAAACAATCACTATAATCTCTCCCCAGTAGCAACCTTGGGGTGGTGATGGGTGGGAATTAGGACAGGGGCCAACAAGCGTAAAGTCTAGACATGTTTGTGAATCTCTTTCCTTAGATCTCCATTGTTCATTGTTTGCCTCCTTCATCCCTTAATTTAAGGGGTACTTCCTCCCTCCGTGGCCTCAGTCATCCTGTTTACATCTCTGTATTCCACCTGGGTCCCCATATCCGGCGCCTATGGTCACTAAATAGCCAGTATTTTTCTTGTAGAGTTTTCATTCCTGATTATTTAATTAACGAGTAAATGAGAAAGTCATCCCTCTCTTAAATAATATTTATTTTTAAACTTCCGGTTCAGCAACTCAATGTATCTATATGGTTCATATTCCTTAATTCAACTTAACCACAATAGCTAAAGTTAATTTACAGATGCCTGCCAGATTCATTTTTCATATTGCATGTAAAATATACCAACACCTTATCCTTTTGTTTTCTCTCTCATAGTGTAAAACGGACCACCTTACCCCTGTGAGACCACAATAAGTACTGTAAACTGTGTGACGTATAATGACTAATGCCAAGTAATTTGGTTTATCTGCTCATGGGAAAAAGGTACAGTTGAACTAGAAGTACATTAAGTCTTTCAGTCCTGAAGGAATGTGTTTATTCTGGCAAGAATTTTCCAGTAAATTTCCATTAAGATAGCATGTGCAGAAAAATGCTAGGTCATTGAGTAACACCATTGTTACATAAATACACCATCTATATCAAGCCTTGCTTTCTAAACACACATAAAGCGAAAATCGAAAAGCTTAGTGCTGATGAATTGACTCAATATTTTGACTTTAATAAGATTCGGAAGCTGAATAGGTTTGTGACAACCTAAAAATACTGAGTCATGGAAAGGAGGAATTTTCTTTTTCTTCTGTATTTTTTTTTTTTTGATCACTGGTAAATACTGCAAGAACACATTATCATTTTTAAATATGAGGGGATGAGGAGTGGCCAAGAGGCAGCCATGCAATAATAGACTACCCTCCTTGGTTAACCTGCCATGTATTTTTTAATTTGTCTAAAATTGTAAGTGAACATTCTTTCAGGATACATCAATGAACGTGTTGTGTGACTTTTTTTCTTCATAGAATATTTTCTACTTTTGTACTTCAGAGAGCAAATGGCTAAAAGTCTGGACCACCTTAAAACTGTTCTGCTAAGCGGCCAGTTCACTGGTTTCCTCTTTTCTGTTTTTAGGAGTATGTTATATGATACCATGCTCATTCTGCAAATTGGGTTCAAAAACATAAAGCAACATCTGCTAGATGTAATGAAGTAGAGAGCTAGGGAGCAGAAATATTTTATATTTCCAAAAGACCCAGGCTGACACATGGTGTTGACATCAAAGAAACATACAGCTTATACCACAGGCAACTACCAGTAACCCCTACCTGACTTTCTGGCAAGCAATTATTCCAAGTTCCTTCCTCCTCACTCTCCCTCCAGAATGCTGTGTGCTAATCATGCCACGGATATGCTTCAGAAGCTCCCACATTTCTCACCTTTTACCACTGTGATGACAGAACTAGACACTATGCTCTAAAGGAAGCTGCCGGCGTTGCTCTATAAAGAATCACTTCCTAGCTTGCTGCACGAGTCATGCTGTGTCCAATACACCGGAGTATCATCGTTTTTCCTTTTTTTTCCACAGACACTCACATCACAAGCAAATATTCACTTTACAGACCCTGACGGGCCTTTCCAGAATCTTCTTTTCCATCTTGCCAGCATCTCATCCATGCTCTGTGTTTTCCATCTTGCCAGCATCTCATCCATGCTCTGTTTATAAAAATCAGGGCTTTGTTTTGTTTTCCCCAGTTATATGTTATCCCATTTTCTGGTGATACATTTTCTACCTGGTCAGTGAATTTCAAAGGCATTGATATCGTTCAGGGTATGAGTGATAATGCCTCTTATTTATTTTCTCATAGCAAGTATTAAACTGGTCTGACATTTTTTCTTCACAAAGAGGTGGGGGTTATCATTGATTATACTGAGGTAAGCTGGAAGCTTGATGATTCCTTCTGCTATCCATGCAGTCAGCTCAGTCAGCAAAATGAAATGGAAACAGATGGAACTGGGAGTCTAAGTGCCAAATGATTCCAGCTCTACTTAACTGCAATCTTTGGTAAATCACTGACTTTCTTTACTCCTCACTTTTCCTATCTAAAAAATGGGAAGAATAACAATAGCCGTGCTTGTTTGGTTTGCTGTGAAAATTCTTAGTGAAGAGCCTCATAGGTAACCATGAAAAAGGTCCTAGGTATACTTGTACTGCGCTAACTGCATAGAAGCGCCTTCCACCCCCCGATACCACTGTTTAATAGGGTCCAGAGGAATCATATATCCTCTAGGATATTCTCAAGGTTTTTGGCCCCAGGACTCCTTTACACACTTAAAATTGTTCTAAGACCCGCAACGAGTTTTTGCTTATGTAGGTGATGCCTATTGGTATTTATAGTGTTAAATGCTGAAACAAAAAAAAATTTAAATACTATTCATTTAAGAACAAACATATTCACATATATAACATTAAAAAAGCCATTTTTTCAAATAAAAATGGTGAGATGAGTAGCACTGTTTTAT